CTGCATAAATGTAATAAGCATTCGACTGGAAACCAAATTCTTCCACACCTTTCGTCTGGCGTTGTGCCAACTTCTTTTAGTTCGTGATACTCAGCTCATGCCCCGAGTCACTAAGCCGGCGTTCCAACGGGTTAAATCATCTTGGTAACTTCGAGCAGGGCCGTACCGTCAGAGGTATACCTCAGTGCGATCGATAGCACGACCATTCGCCGTTCACTTGTCCAGCCGCGACAGTGTTGGAAGCACTCTGCGCTTCTCAGCCATGATGCCAATTCACTACATCCCGCCACTGCAACTCAATTTCACCGCCTTTGCCAACCATTCAAGTCCATCGCGCGGGCAAAAGTTCATATGCAAGTACCAAAGTGGCCAGAACGACCGGACCGTCCAGCGAAAGCCTCGGGCGATCGGCCGCCCCGGCAAGAACACCAGAGCGACCAACACATTCGCCACCGTGGGGATCTCCCAACCTCCGAACAAACTTCTCACCTTCCGGCCAGAGTCCCCGTGCACCACAACCCCTCGTCCCACACCGTACTTCCCCCTCGCCAGGTCCGGCGTGCACGCCCCAGCGACAACCGCAACCCCTCCTGACGTGAAAACGCACAACCACCCGGCCGGAGTTACCTTCGAGCAGCTCTAGCAGGGGAGACGGGAAGGCGGGACCAGGCACGGGGATCCCCGCTCTGTGGTCCACAGTCGCTGCCACGAATACGATGGCTTGCTGCGGACTGCGGATGGGGGGATCATGTGCCGGGATACGCGATGGGTGCGGCGGAGGATGGCGAGGGTGGGATGGTCGTCTTGAGGGTTTGGTGAGTGGAGTGGGGGTAGTGGGAGAGGAACCCATGTTCTTTGAACGGTCCGGAGCGGGGAACGGTGTGTCTGGAGACTGCGAGATAGTTCTTGGGCAGAGCTAGTCATAGGGAACTTAGCGATATATAGATAATCTTGATACATACGTCGTGTTACAGTGCAGTGATGAATCGAGACGTTACGACGATCGTTCTTAGTGCACGAGAAAAGAATCACATGCTGAGCCGGCCGTACAAATGATTTACAACTGGGGTCAAGGAGTGTGCAAAGCAATCATGGTAACCCACGATCACGGAGCCGGACCCGAAGTGTGACGAAAGAGGAGCCTCGAGCCTCCTTCGACCGGCGGTAAAGAGGCGACTTGGAAACTAGCGACAGCATGGTAGTGGACGAGTAGGGTTGGAACCATCGCGATATCCGGCTACCTACCATTCCCACACAGATGATCTAAATGAACGTAGTCCAAGACATGAAAATAATTCTTCCATCGCACCCATCCCATATCCGGCCACCCTTCCCAAACGAAAGCATTCAATTGAACAAACTCCGAGTCATAGAAACAATCCCCGGTAACTCACGCGTAAAAACCCCATCCACGATCCAATGCGACGCACCGTTACTATACTCCTCGGTCTCAGATCCAGAATGAGTGCTCCAGCCGCAAGGGCCGCAACGCGAGGCGATATGCCAGCGAGTGGTCGTTCGGGGTCTCACGTTGGATATTGAAAATTTGAGAGCTTCCTCGCCGGAAGAATCGATCGGGTCCGGGTGCAGCAGCTCACGGACCGATTGTGCCTTCTCCGCTGAGACTTTCGTCAAAAGAGCGATGCGAATCGATGAGCTACGGAACGTAGACGGGGGTTCGCGCGACTTGGAAGCCGGGAGGAGGGCGCCGTTGACGCTGTGGTTTCCGGCGGGGGGTGTATCGGTATGCCATGCGTCCGAGGGAGCGGAGATTGTACGGGTTGTCATATCCATTACCATCATGTGATGGGTCATTCCTCCTACCTCGCAGCGGCAGCTTAGCTCCCTGTGTAAACGGTGCAGAGAGGAGGAAGGGTTTGAGAAGGAAGCTTCGCTTTTGCACCGTGTATTCGTTCTTGCCGTAGCAAGCGGCTGCAAATCTTTTGGTTAAGCGGGGGAGGAATGGGGAAGGGAGGGTATCTTGTGTACTCTACGTGGTCTTTTTGTAATCGAGCACAGTTTCCGAGTTGGGCATTGTGTCCGTACGGTAGTTAGTTAATCGAGTCAACCTGGAGTCTTAGTATGATGGCACGCCTGTTCAAGTAGCATCGCCAAGAATGAGCACTCACTCCGTCGAGATTAGCAAATGAAAGACTCGCAAACGCACCACGGTGGAAACATCTGTAGCTATTGCCCAAATCATGCCTCTCTTCTCGCAGTGACAGTGTTAGTATAGTCGGAATCGTAGCCATGGAACCTCGAAGAGCCATGTAGTCAGTAGTAGGGGCGATCCTTGCTGCCGCTTTTCATTCAGCTTAGGTTACTCCTTTGATAGACTTAGAGCGTAGCGTGCCGCACTGTCAGTAGGATCGCCTATGATGCGTTGGGTGTTCCATTCTGGAAGGAGCTTTGACGTGCTCCTCCTGAAGACCACCCAAACGCAGGCAGCTGCCTTCCGGGACTTTGAGTTTCGAAAGCATCAAGACAATGGGAAGGAGGGTCTGTAGACTTGCCTGTGTGAGTACAAGAAGGCATCTCCCACTTTTTCACTTTCTCTTTCTTCCACACCACTCGCTCACCAAACCTCTCCCTGTTGACCACCCTTCCGTTCTTCCAGTCATCCATCAGACTCCTCTAAACACTCCTCTATTGTGCAGCATCTTCATGGCATCCTACCAGTGCAGTGCATGCTTCAAAGCTTCTCGCTGTCGTCCATTGGCCGGTTTCCTGAGCCCATCTCTCTCGACACCAGAGCAGAAGCTGCTGCAACGGTGGTAAGTCTTACACCATAGTACTTGTACCTTCATGCAACAGAGGCTAACGGTTTCCTCTCCATCATACATCCTCTCCGCTATCATCACCTTCTACCCGGGACTCAGAGCGTATCGACGGCTTCCAAGACACAATCACCGCCGAGCACGGACAGAGAAAGGAGCAAGGACCTGGAGTAGGTATGCCGTCCTGGCTTGTCGTCATTGTCCAGATACTCCTCCATTGCGGGTATCATCCCTCGAATAGTGGCTAATAGCTTGTCACAGAAGCAGAACACGACGACGATCTTCGCTCTGCTGCCATCGGTTGTGATTCCGTCGTACTCGTGACAGACAATCAAAGGCCAGTGGATTTTCCTCGTGTACCCCGTTCGTGTGCTCCTATAGAAAGACTCACACTCTTTTATAGTTTTTTGATTTCCTTGTGATGAGAACGTAATGCAGGTAGGTGGATGGGATGGAGTGCTGGCCGGCCTTTGGCTGACAAAAGACTCTCTCCTTCAGATTCGAATCCGCTTGGAGGTGCGCCAACTTGAGTCGGACAACCAGAATTCCGGACTCGCGGAAGGGTTGCTGCCAGGGACTCAGAGCATGCCGACGGGCACGATCCCCGTAAGGATGGACGGTCAAAGGTGCAAGCACCTAGGACAGGTGTGCCGTCATGGCCTGTCATCATTGTCCACTAAAAAGCCAGTCGGCCCTTTCCCCCATCTGCAGCTGCAGGAATCGACTCGAAGGAACTCTGACTATGGATGATGAGACCCCGATTGCTTTCGGGGTGACCGGGAGAGCTGCTGGCCGGCCTTCAACATATTCCTGAAAGGCCAGTACTTTCTCCTTGAATGCCCCCGTGACGGACACATGCTTAATCTGAATTTTTGATGATGATACATTCATGTAACCTGAGGGGTCAGGAGAAATGCTGGCCGGCCTTTGGCTGATAAAGAAAGTTTTCTCCCTCATAGATTCGACTTCGCTTGGCGGTGCGCCAGTTTGAGTCCGACACCCAGACACTACCGTTTCCTCTCGAACCAACAGACTTCCACAACCCAGAACAGTACCCCTCCATCTCAAGCCAAGGGACCTCCACAATTCCCGGTACTTGCCCGACCGATGCCACAACTTGTGGTATCCGCCCAGACGACTTCAGCAGCTCACAGTATTCGCTCACTCAAATGATGTCGACGCTCCGGACTGCCCAATCAATCAACTGCTTCGTTGCGGCACTGCGGGGTGTTCGGTCGACTACTTTGTCAATGGAGGAGGCCAACAGAAGAGCTGCGAGGCTCCTACAAAGGTATCCATCCTTCTCTGAGTATGATGTACTTTACTGACTTAAGACAAAGGCTTCGAAATTATACACAACCAACACCAGGCTCGTGCCAATCCCTTCACTGTACGACATCCATTCCTATCGTGCAGCCCACACCATTGTTCTCGGGCGCCTGTCCTCTGTCAGCTTACCGTTCACCATTGTCGGGTCCTGAGAGCTTGGAAGAGGGCATTTGAGAGAGTTTTGGTAGGACTTCACGATCCTTCCATGGCTACCTGGAAAACAGCATGGGTAAAATTTTCCGCTTTCCGCTTTCTTCTCTTCCGGCGAGGTGAGCTGATAACAAGGCGTTCAGGAACGATTTACTCGTGTGACTGAGGCTACCTCGGGATTGAGGCTACCTAGTGGAAGACGAGATCGGAGTCGAAGCCAACCTGCAATTGGGTGAGGATGGAGGGTGGCGGGTCACAGGAATGTGAGGGTGATGCGGATTTCGAGACGTGGCTGATGGCATGTTGCGAAGGCACGATATGGGGAAGGAAGATAGTACGCAGTAACAGTATCATATTTAGAGCAATCACAACACTACATCAACCTCTAGAATTGAAGTCTGTCAAGCAGGAAGCTCGTCACCGTCAATGAAAAAGTGATGCCATGAATCTCCTAGCTAAAAGTCAACATCAGCGCTCGAGCCCACACATAGCGGAGCAAAGACAACCGTACTTATCTCACAGGAAATGCAGGCGAGCCCAGAGCATCTTGCTCTGAGAAGCAGCTGAATAGCAGGCATTGATTGTGTTCCGCATTAGGCCGGCTATCATCGCTCTCAATTCCGCCGTCTTTGAATCTGGTCCGCACCCACCACTCTAGACAAAAAATGTGAGTCAGAGTGCTTGTGTAAGCCGCGGAGAATGTTACACTGTTTGGAAACATGGACAATGTCACTGCGCGGTGCCTCAATCGTCATCGTGAATGATGACCCCAACATCTTCAGCAGTCGTAGCAGGTAGTTCATCCCCTGACTCTACATCCTGCTTCAGTCCGGGAAGAGTAACACGATCAAGCTTTGACATCCCATTCATGTTTCCTCCTTGGTTGTCATGGTCGGCCTCTCCGTTCCCATCCTTGCCCTTGTTCTTCTTCTTCTCCCTCCTCTTCCTATTCTTCCCCGTTTTCTCCTCATCCTTCTTCCTCGTCTCCTCCTTCTTCCTCTCAAACTCCTCATCCGCCTTCTCCCTCGCCACCTCCTCATCCATCATCTTCACCCTCTCATATTCCCTCCTCCGACTCGCTTTGTACACATGGAACTCCCCGCTGCCCGCTCCGGCGCTGGAGCCTTGGACGTTGGCGACAATTTCGGGAGGGGCGGAGAGGGTAGATTTCTTTGCGAGGGCGGTGGAGGAGGGGATGGGGATGTCGCGGTCGGGTTTGGCGAAGAGGGCGTCGACTTGCGAGGCTTGCTGTGTGACGGGGGTGAGGGCACGGCGTTTGAGGGGGCGTTTGGAGCGGGGATCGGAGGAGGTGGGGATGGATTCTGGGATGGGTTCTGACATTTTCGTGAGGTGGTAATTAGTATTGACAGACACAGTAGTCAGAATCCTCGATAGGAACTAGGGTTGCGAATTGAGAAAATACTTCTGCGGAGGACTTCGGTCTTATGAAACCGAGGATATCCCGTCCCACTGTCAACACATAACCCAGATTCACAACTAGTATTTGCTTTTATAACTCCAGTCTTTGAGTTGAAGCGACTATTCATAAGAATGGCAGATCCACTGTACGAGCTACTGGTGCCCTACTTCGACACATCTGCCTCTCCACGCCCGGTCCCCAGCGTATCAGACCAGGTCACTGCAAAGTACCTGAACCGTCTTTCCACGCTACCCTTAGCCTCTCTGACATCCACGGAACCTCAATCGCTGGCACAATCATCACATACGACTCTCTTATCACTGCAGTCGCTCTCAGCCAGATCGAATCCCGCTATAGTAGCATCATCAGACCATCTTTCGAGTCTACGTACAAGCTTACCACAGCTAGCGGCAGAAGCAGAGAGTCTGCGAAATGAGATACCAAGACTTGACGAGCAAGCGGTGGCTTTCTCGGAAAAATACAGCCGGAGTGCTGAGAATGAGGTGCTGGACCGACGGAAGAAAGCCTTGTTGATGGCCAGGAATGTGGACCGGCTGTCAGATATACTGGATCTGCCTACGCTACTTGCCTCTGCTATATCAACCTCTACGGCTCAGGGTGCTTCAAATGCGGCCAACTATGCCTCAGCATTGGACCTACATTCGCACATCAAGCGACTGCACCTGCTTTACCAGGACTCGGAGCTCGTGAGCTCAATCTACCAGCAGACAGAAGAGGCTATGCAAGAGATGACTTCGAATTTGATCGCAAGTCTACGCTCCCAGAACATCAAGTTAGCAGCGGGTATGCGAACAGTCGGATGGCTTCGAAGAGTAGCACCAGATTTGGACGGTAGTGGCGGTAACCGGGATGGTACGTTGGGTGCTCTATTCCTAGTCTGCCGTCTCGCAACTCTCGTCTCTATGCTCTCGGCACTTGACCCCCTCCGAGACCTTGCAGAACAAGAGACTGCGATACGCCTTCGAGAGAGCAACTCCACTACCAAGAAGACTACCAGCGACGCCTGGTCCGGCGGCCAACAAACGGAGCGCTACCTAAAGCGCTACATTGAGATCTTCCGCGAACAATCTTTCGCCATCATTTCAATGTACAAAAGCATCTTCCCCTCCGGTCCAGACTCTACCTCTGTCTCGGAAGACCTGGGCCTAAAGTTCAAAACCTTTGGCTTGAGAAGTGTGTCTGCACCTCAGCCTACCCCTCCAAGTCAGCAGCAGCAAGATCCTCTGTCGCCCCTACCATCTGCTCTTTCAACATACCCATTGCATCTGGTTGGCTTGCTCACGGAAACACTAAAACATTATTTGCCCAACGTGAGGGATAAATCATCCCGCGAGAGCTTGTTGACACAGGTGCTGTACTGTGCTGGAAGTCTGGGGAGGTTGGGTGGGGATTTTAGCTTGCTGTTAGCCGATCTTGGACAGGATGATGAGGATGCAAATGAGGACGAGGAAGATGGAGAGTGGGTGGAGGTGATGACGAAGCATCGGGTTCTGGCTGGGAAACTGGAAAATCTAGCCAGTGGTGGGGGGAGTGTCCGCGGTGGGAAGGCTTTTGGGTTGGGAGATGGGATGAAGTCGCCGAAGTTGAATGCTTAGATTCGACCATCAGACGAAAGCCTGGCTCTAATAGCAACGCTTTGCTGGCTCACTCCTCCTCGCTCTCCTCAGAGCTCTCTTCCACCACTCTATTGGTATATGTGCCGTTCACGCCATTCACGCCATTCGCACCATTCACCCTCCGGTTACCGGCGTCCTGATCAGCCTGCCGTTCTAGCTCCTGCTCCAGCTCTTGCTCCAACAGGTCTACTTCATCCTCATCGTCCCACCCGTTTCCTGGCGTCTCTACCTCTTGCTCTGCAGCACCATGGCTCTCGAATTCTAAAGTTCCTTCCCCAAGATCTATCTCTTCGACATCTGCGTTGCTCTTTCTATCTCCATTCTCCTCGTCAGAGGTGTCGCCTTGAATGGATGGACTCATAGAGCTAGCCACAGATCTCAGACTCCTCGGTTCGCTGCCGCCGCGGAATCCTTCGTTCAGGCCGGCAAGGAAACGCCGCGATGGCCTTTCGTTCTTCGGTTTCGAATCATCGATGATTTCCAATGGATCATCGTTTTCGCTGTCTTCATTGTCGGCATCCGCTTCTTCCCGAGGGTTAGGCGAGAGATGTCGAGATCTCGGAGGTTTAGACCGGTGCTTAGGCTTCGAAGGGCGCGGGGGATGGCCGGTGAGGATTGGGGAGGAGTTGGAGTTGTGATTAGGCATGGGAGACGGTTCAGGCGTTGGCGAGAGACGCTGTTGAGCAGGTTTGAGGAAATGACGGTAGTCGTAGGGATTATGCGGATCAGCCTCGCGAGTCAGATCTTCATGGTCATTCGCTGAGCCTTCGTCAAAGAGGTCATCTTCGACATTTTCCGGGGCGGGGAGACCGGTTTCAAGCTGTGGGTATTGGCTGGCTAAGCTGGCGATGTCTTTGTTTGAAGGGGTGCTGCGAAGATTGAAGCGGAACGAAGTGTCTATTTTGTCGAGGGTAAAGGTTTGAGTATTCGGGTCGTAGATCAAGGCGACTGCTTCTGAGGGTTGCTGGGCGCCGTTATAGAGATAGACGTCTCCATTTACTTCGTCCGTGAGAGAGAGATTGTAGCCATTGTCGCGGCCTTGCGAGGATGGAGTGATGATGGATTTGGTGGACGAAGTGGAGAGCTTTGGCCTGTGGTTGACTATGAACATATCAATCAGTCCCGTCAGACACAAATTGGAGGGCACGACGCACGCTGAATATTGACCTTCCGCCGTTTGCGTGGTCCATCTTCTCGCAACAACTGTTCGCTGATAGTGATAGGGTATTTGGCAGGTTTCGATGGGTCAATCTGAGAGGAGTTGGCCATTGCAGCCATGACTGGGTTTTTAATAGTCGAAAATGTGATCGTAATATATAGACATATATATTGGGACAGCTGACCGCTGACCGCTGGCAGATGGCCGGTTGCAGAAGAGAAGTGAAGGCAGGTTGAACGGAATCAAACAATCTGGGTGGGGTGTCATAGCGGGAACATGCGCCTCTAGGCGTATTTCTCCGGGGTCCACCCCTGGGCTTCTTTCTATAGCCATTCGCTTACAACTTTCATTCCTCCCTACAAGCCTACCTTCCTTCAATTATGTTAGCAACTGTCATGTTTCCTGGTGTTCCTGATAAGTCGAAAATCTTCACGAGGACTCCTAGCTACGTTGAAAAGGAGCTGCCCATAGCCAATGGAATGGTCTCAGGGCGACCCCGGCGCTGATCATGGCCTTGGCCTGGCGGTCCAGCCCGGCATAGACAGCGTCTGGGGCGATTGTCTAGCAGGATTGCAAAGCTTGCTGCTTCGGGTTTGGGGGCGGCGAGGGCACCCTGGCGGCTGAAGATAGCCCCGGTAAAGACCTGGCAAGGCTGCAGATGGCAGATCTTATCCCTCCCCAGGTTTTCTGCTGGCTGTTTCCTGCTTTCTTCATCAGTCCCGAGTCGCTGTTCTCCTTCTGTATGTTGCGACGGTATCTTAATGCATTTAACCCGATCGTCTGCTTCGTCGACGCAATAATGCTGAGTACTTAGACATCCTTTATCTGTTTTCTGGTCATGGCCTTCGTCTTCTCGTCGCTGTCAAAGCCCAAAGACGGTGGAGTCAAGGTCGAGTACGTTGGGAAATTTGGCCTTCTATGAGAGCAAACGCTGACCTGTCGCAGTATTGTATGCGTACCGGCCATTGGCGCTGATCCAAGAAAGACATGGGAACGCCAGACCGACAGCGCTGGCTTCGAACGCCGCCGGCTCGACTATGTATTGCATGACAGACTTTACCCCGCCGCCCAAGTCCATCTCTATGATCACCTTACGCGTCCGGAAAGGGAATTGGAGGTGAAACCGCCCCAAGGGCCGAACGATCATGCGCACAAGAAATCAGCCGAAGAATTCGCTGCTGGGGAGGCGTTGGTCGCGGATTACGGAGTCGCGGAGTGGGCAGATCGTTTTTTGGAAATTGTTAGCGAGCATCGCAGAGCGCAAAGGACAGACCGGCGGCCTATACTCTTCATATGTCACAGTACGGGAGGTATCGTTGTCAAGCAAGCACTCAGCAAGAGGGACGCCGAAGGCCAGAACAGCATCGCAGCATGGTGTCTTGGGGTTACATTCTTCTCCACACCGCACCACGGCTCAAGCGTGCTCTCCGAGCCTGAGTATGTCCAAACTGTGCAAGATCATTTGGGGTTGAAATGGGAAATGTCTGAAAACCTTCGGCACGACTTCTTGTTACGTAATACGGACCTGGAAGTAAGTATTTTCGGAGACCAGATGTTCTCATTCAAACCTGATCTTAAGCCTTGAGACTTGTCCAAGGAGTGTTTGCTTTTCACATATGCCTCATGGCTCGAAGACTCTTATTGAACAGGTAATGCTGACTCCAAAATCTTTTATCCAGACTCTCAATCATGTATTTGCTGTCAGTGTTTTCGGGGTGAAAATATACAGCTACGTTGAGAGTGAAGACACGAACTTGGTTGTACTATCTACGAACGACCTGGGTGGGGAAACTTTGACCACCATCCGGCTATGCATTGTGGACAGCCGTTCTGGAAAGCTGAGCAGCCCTGAGGCACCTTTCGAAGACGAAGAGGTTATACAGCTCAATACCACCCACGTTGGCGGTCCGCAATTCACGGATGAGGATGCTCTGTACAGCTTTTATGTCGACGAAATTACCGCCTTTGTGAAAGAATTTAGTGCCGATGAGCGCAGCCTTCATCACGCTCTGAATCATGATATAATGTCGAACACTGAAGTAGATGTCCATCAGTTCTATGTTGTGGGCACGCAAGGAGAGCCTGGATCGATAAAGATCATGACTGCTCACCCTTCGCTCCAGACCTTTCTCGAAAGTGGACCATCAAAATGTATGGAAGCGAGGGTCCGTGGAACTGATCAAGCGGACGAGGGTAGCAGGAATGGATCGGTCAGGCCAGCCATAGAATTCAGGCCCGCTTCGGAGCCAGCAGCTCCAACCTTGATGGTCACCTCGGCGGAAAGCGATGAGACCTCTAGTGATGCTTCCAGAGCAGATTCATATCCAAAGCTTTCTGCTCCAACTGTTCCGCTCCCCAAGAACATACATACTAGGCGGCCCTCCTTGACTATAGAGGTATTGGATCCGGGATCTCCAGGCCATCTAGCACCCAAAGCAAGTAAGAAAGTTGCATTCACGACCAATGCGGCGAACAAGGACACAGATCAAGGGAGACGGCCTCAACGTGCGCACCTTTTTCAGCTGCCCAGTTCATCTTCGGAGCGGTTTAAATGGATTCACGTTCCTTTCACCCATGCTGGGTGGGTGCCTCTCGTCCTCACAACAATCTCTCAAGACAAGGATAATCTGAATCTCCACACCAAGCTCCTGATGGACAAGATGTGGTTCTCGCAGCATAACCAGTCACGACACGCCTCACCCCACGCCCGTTTCGTGAGACCTAGCGTTAAGTGTTTGCTGCCAAAGAGCTCAGAGAAGCACGTAGACATGGCAACACCGTTGAGTGCCGTTGAAGACGTCCAGTTCGTGGCATACTTGCCCTACCTCCACTGGGACTCATTCAGGAATCTGCAAAAACGAGCGGAGATCATCAAATTGCGGAGGGAGCAACCCCACGCTCGCCCGATTGCAAAACACGTCGCTAGCGGAAAATCAATGGAACACAAGCTCATCTGGCAACACCTTACGTCAGATAGACCAGTCCATTGCCGGCGGACCCTCGACCAATATGGATATCCGAGCCTGCGGAATACCTCTGTTCGAGATGCTGACCAGATATTATACAAGCGCACGAAACCTGATGCAGATATGCAACCACCCAAAGAGCTGTCGATGAAGCACAAGCTTCAGTCCAGTCGCGCAGCAGCGGCCTCAATGCCAAATGCCGACGATGGTGCTGCAAAGGTCCTAATGGTGGACCAACTTTGGCTCTGGATCGTGGACAACAAGACTGTGATCACATTCTTCGCTCCCAAAGAAAAGGAAGACAACGATGGCGGCCTTTGGAAAGAAGGAGATGTGCGGAGTGAGATCTATCAGGACATCAACGGCGATTATGCGAACCAATGCACGGATCCTTTCGACTTTGCTGCACTTGCCGTTTTCCACGCAGTGAAGGCCCTGCTTGACCGGACCACTGACCGGAATCTCCAGGTCTTTCGAGTATTCGAAGAGTACATATCAATTTTGACTGAACAGCAAACGCTCAGCTTCAAAGAGTTCCGCAACAATCACCAATATAAGAAGGCTAAGGATATCAATGCACAACAGCATATAGACAACCGTAAAGACCTTGACGCTCTCCTCGAGTTGCGTGATATCGAAGACGAATTGAGTACAATTGAAAAGTTAATCAAAGAGCAGCAAAGTTGTGTTTCGGAAATGATTAAACAATATCGTGATCTGAATACCCGCCATGGAAAGGGCTTCAACGGTATCAACTTCTTATACGACGTCGACCAGTTCCTAACCGAACACAAAGAGCAGTTAGACGGCATGCTCAAGGGCGCTCAAGCCGCTCAAAAGGCTTTCAAGGAGCTTCTCGACATGAAGCAGAAGCAGGCCAATATTGTAGAAGCACACCTAGCCCGCGAGCAAACCGAGGTTGCTGCCGATCAATCGCGATCTGTTATGATTTTTACGATATTCACGATCATTTTTTTACCTTTGTCTTTCTTCGCGTCTGTATTCGGTAACTTCGCATCTTCCAACCACGGTTGACATCGTTTAGCAGCAGGACTGACTGGGGCGTAGGTATCAACGCACGCGAATGGAGCGGTAATCCAGGCAATGAGAATTCAGCGCTACCGACACTACACGAAATATTCACCTACATGGGCGCTATATCTCTCGCAGTTATAGTAGTCGCACTCATGGTAGCCTTCAATAGACACGCGCGACGCCTCTCTTACAGAATCTGGAAGATTTTCGCGAAACCCTACTTCAATCTTCTGGGACGACTGGGCATCAATCCTCGGCGTCCTCCAGACCAGCCTTCGCGGGCCTCGACTCTCGGTAGTATGGAGATTGACTTGGAAAAGCAAGCTGATATTGATGCGGAAAAGGCGCGTGCGAAACGGTTATCTACGCTCTCTAGGACACATTCGAAGATGAACTGGGAGGAGGAGCTGCGGGTACATAGGAACAGCATGGTTGGGAAATAGTACGGAATGGGGATAGTAATTGAGGAAAAAATCCTTTTGTTATCAATGATACCCAGAAGGCTCAGTGTTCGAGGCATGTATGATGAATAATGATATATATAATCACGATATACCCAAGTTACACTCTTGTGCTGTCTGATTAATGGGTTTCTCGGTCGCTAATAAGCGAGGGAGCTCATTTCTGTAACACACAAGTAGGGACCAGGGAGCAAGAAGGGTTGACGAAGAAAGTCACATGGGGCCTCTTCTTCATTCCATGACTGCGACAAAGCATACGACTCTGCGAAGAGGCCTGCACTTTTATCAACGTCAGCAGTCGGCCATTCAGGAGCAGAAATTTTCACACAGGCAGCAATGCTGCGTTGAAAGAGGCAGAGAATGGCATCGATACCACGCGAACAATCCGCCAAGTGAGCGACTGGTGTGTGCGCTGGCAAGGTACTTTCAGCAAGGGTCGATTGGGATTGTGTCTTGCGTAAGCTCTATGCAAACCCCGAACTTCAACGAAGCCTGTTGGTGGGGGTTCCGCTAAAGGAGCGTAGCACGGGGGCTAAGAACCACAACTCGAGGATCAAATCCTCTCGAATCATCGCTAACTGCAATCGGGTATGGTCTGGCCGTAATCCTACGGCCTTTCCGGGCTCAACGAGGAGTAATTCGACTCTTAAGTACGTCGTCCTTCGCCCACCTCTCTTACCCCGCTCGTGGACATTCTACCACTCCAGAGCGTATACAAGAGTAACTTCCCAGTCTTTGACAAAGTCATGGCCGACGTTCCAGCAACAGCGCAAAACATCGAAGCAGACCCAGATGTAAGCACGAACACCAGGTGAAGGCTTCCTACTGACGTCACTGACGCTTGTCCTAGCTCTACGACGCGTCCGACTCCAGTATTGGAGATGATGTGTATGTGCCTTTGCGGTGCAAGTGTATGTTTAGCGCCCGGGGAGCTAATCACTTGTCGGTAGGTCAACTTATACCGCATCAATAACCAGCAGCATCGAGAGGTACCCAATCGAGAATGGCCGTCGATACCACGCTTTCAAGGATGGAAGCTACATCATGCCGAACGACGAGAGGGAACAAGATCGTCTCGACCTAAGCCATCAGATGTTCAAGCTCACTATGGGTAATAAGCTTTATCTGGCACCTATAGATAAACCAGCTAGAATCTTGGACATTGGAACCGGGACGGGCATCTGGGCCATCGAAATGAGCGATGAGTTCCCAGACTCGGAGATCCTTGGTACTGACCTAAGCCCAACGCAGCCAACGTGGTAAGGAATTCAAATACCCATTACCCAATAGAGCCTATTACTCAAAGCCGATAGGGTGCCAGTCAACGTCAAGTTCGAGGTCGACGATCTGGAAGACGATTGGACGTTCCAACACCAATTTGACTTTGTCCATTGTCGCTACCTAGCGGCAGCAATTTCCGACTGGGAAAAATTGGTACGCCAATGTTTCGAAGCCACAAAGCCTGGCGGATACACCGAATTCCAGGATTACAACCTCCGTATCTACTCCGAAGATGGGTCAGTTACATCTGAGCACGCAGTTCGAAAATGGAACGATCTCGGATGTGGTGCCTGTACGTCCTTCGGCAAGGACCCAGAGCCAGGCCCAAAGATTCAAGGATGGATGAAGGATGCGGGCTTTGTAGATGTGTACCATGAACGATTCCGTCTACCCATTGGACCGTGGCCGAAAGACAAACATTTGGTAAGATCCTGAATTCCACTGCGAGAACCCAGTCAGCGCGCTAATGCTTGTCCAGAAAACTGTCGGTGCATGGAACTTGGTGACACTGGAAGACGGATTAGAGGGGATGACCCTTCGCCTTTTGACGCAAGTACTCGGTTGGAGGCTAGAAGAGGTGCAGGTTCTCATTGCGAAGGTTCGCAAGGATTTCAGAGACCCCAAGATTCATGCTCAGCTCGACTTGTGAGTTCGTTCATCCTTTTATGTTATGCTGGGGCGGAGAATGCCAGATGCTAATAAGTTGTAACATTAGCCATGTCGCCTACGGCCGAAAGCCTACAGCATAAGATCTTAGGTACCAATAGCTTAATATCATATTCGAGGCATGAGCGGTGGAATCCAAATCATGCCTGAAGTCGGCCCACTCGAGAATGGAGGTACGTAATAAATTCCACTTATCGATCAACGCAAAACTCTTACCATTCTCATAAGACATCGGTGGAGGATGCCAGCGTGTGACTGGTCACATGGATGTGCTAGCTTAGGTAGCTAAGTCGACGCCTGGCTGATTTTTGTGACTTTAGGAATCTAAAAGCACAACCATTAGGCCAAAACTCCGAGGGAGTCTGTGCTTGATAGCGGTAAACACCTTATGCTGCGTTGCCTACCATTAATTGCTAACAGTGGCCGATCTAAAATAAAATCAGTCTTAATAGCTTCATTAGAGCTTTATCTCTTACAGAAAGACTAGGAAGTATAGCTATATATCAAAAAAGGAAGTGCCAACTTGTAGTTCCAGTAAATAATCATTCGACTTTTCTTTGCCTAGATCCTCGTCAAAAGCTTTCAATCAGCATGTCCCTCAGACCACGCTGTTGTCCTTACCACGCTCGACATGACTCTGATCTCCCAACAATTGCTATGGAATAGGGAAAGTCTGTAGTGCTCGATCTGCATGCGTGCTTCAGCCGCTCTTGGAAAAGCAGAGCTCATTGAGGCCTTGCGGAATCCATTCTGCATAGAAAACACTCTCCAAACAGGATCTGGCACTGAGCATTACATCGAAGCTGAAAACCTCATCGAATGATTCCATCACAGCAGACAGCGGCCGTCACAATCGTCATCGTGATTTGTGCATTGGACACAAGAGCACGAGTGACGAGTGATGGGAACTCCTCCGAGCTCACGATGTTCAACTTCAAGGTCGTCGAAGTCATCCTGGTCGTACTCCTCGCTGAACTTCTCGTAACTCATGCCTTGAAGCAGGGACTGCATTCCATTATCAACGTTCTGCACTTGATCTAGGAAGCTTGCCACGCCGGATCGTCTTTCGAGGAATGCGTCTGTAAAGCCCGCACTGCGAGGCGATGCAGATCCTAGAAGGCTCGTTGGAGATAAGACAGAAGGAACGCTCAGGCAAGATGCGTTTCTCGGGTGAGTGACGCTCGAGGTGGTATTTCATCGACATGGTATCCAGGCGCGGCCGCGCACGACTGTGGTGTCGATTCTGCCAAAAACGTCTGATTTTAGAGAGTGGTCTTCACAACATTGACCAGAAGCCCACGGTTCCTCTGAATCATAGCTGGCATGATACCCTCATCCCTCAAAAGCCCACCTAGCTCCATCCATGTCTGACGACCTTCTGGGGAAGAGGCGTCTAGACTGTGAGACATGTTCGGGCTTTTCGACCTCTGCTAGTTTGCGAGTATGGTTTGAAGTTGTGCTTCAATACGAGTATGTGATATTTCCAGACGGTCTGAGAGGGAGTCAAGAAGGAGCACGTGATCGGCCGAAGACTTTACCAGGAGGTCGTGAGACTCTTCGACGCATCTTTCTATGCGCTCCTGAGAGGCTTGAATTCCACTTTGGTAAGACCTGAGATGCGGAGCGATCAGCCGCCAAGTACGGGAACACTCGATTCAATGAACATGTACTGAATGATGAGGACATTGAACGCCGTCAATTTCTCAATATGTGCCGATGTCCACGTTGGAGCTTCGGAATCCGTAAGGCAAATCCTCTTTCACCGAAATGCTGACGCAAACCTCTGACGAGTGTAATTAGGTCATACCTAGGGTCGTACTCCGTTCGTGAACCATGCTCAATAAGACAGCCATGAAACGCAACGAATTCTATCTTCTCGAAGCTTTCTGGCATCACGAGAGCATCGAATGTCTGCACAAAAAGAAGCTCTTTGCAACACTCAAAGCAAGCCCCAAGGGCAGCGTCGTCGGATTGACTGAGATGGCTGCTTTCGCATTCGATGGTCGTTTTAGTCTTCAAAAACACTCGATGGAAAAGCAGTAGTTCCCGTGCAGTTTCCTGACAAGCCCCCAGCGCTTGCTTGAACTCATCGTAAAGCATATACGCCAAACGCGCGCATCCATAGATGTCTGACACGCTGAAGCCGAAACTCATCGCAAAGCCTTTCTCAATGGTATCTTTCCTCTGCTAAATACAGTCACTTGCTAACCATATTTGCCACAAGCACACGAGCTACGACATAGCAAGCAAGAGGATTGGAAAAGGAGGCAGCCTTCCCTAATCCAAAGTGAACGAGGCTGTATGGGAAGCGAAGCTCGGCGTGACGCCGTCTTCCAAGCGCTTGGGGCAGTACACTTCCGCATTAGTTCTTGGATGCCCTTCATCACGGTGTTTGGAGGCCAAGATCTTGTCGCGAAGCATTTACTGCAAATGACGAAACGGTTATTGATCATAAGTGTTTGGCGTTGGATTTGTTGTCCAATTGCAGTGAGGACCTGCTGAGTATCGACTCGAAGTTAGGGCTTCTCTACGGGTTGAAAGCCTCTGTATTTGTGTGCTCTCCTCTTTTGCGCCTTTCGCCGCCAGTCACCCTCTACTGCTCTTCAGATCTTGGGACTCATCGTTGCTGACGGGTTTGTCCCTTGGGTAGTCACCTTTTCTGACTTAGCCAAGCTTTGCTTGGACCTCTGTGACACTGACTTCGATAAGTAGAGCACTAGAACAACAGAAGGCTAAGGGAACGGAGCCGCCAACATTCCACAAGCAGCATCAGTGGCGAGGAAAGATACCCTGACACCCAAGCACTATTAAATAGCTGGCAAGTTGGAACATAAAAAATATTTTCTACCTGATCAGACCTGTGTTTATCGTTATCGTAGCCGCCGCCGAAGACCAGACTAGTGCTACCCACTGCAGAGAGTATGCTGTGTGCCCAGTTGATCACCCTTTATAAAATTGTGGTTACGACTGCAAAGCACAGGATCTCGGAGGCTCTATGGTGCCAATCCTCCAATTTGTAACATAGAGGCTAAAGTTCAAGACAAATATAGCTGCTGCTGATGCTGTTTCTTCGCAATATCAAGGGAAATTGAAAGGGGCTGTTTTTTCTGAACGCACTTTTGACCAACGAGAGGAAAAAGGACCCGGCCGCAAAGGTTTTCCTTTAATACAATAAACCGAATGCCTTCATCGTTAAAATGCGTCAAAACCACAGTTCAATCACCCCTGCGATGTGACATTCAGCAACCTCGTGCCATTCAAGGCAAAGCCTGCCCCCTCCGAGTACCCACTCATGGGCGTAGGCTCAATCGACAGCTTCAACACCCTTCTCGGTCCCACAGGTACAAACCCCGCCGCCAATGCTCTCGGGTTCGGTCTTACGCATTTTGTAAACAGTCGCCTGAAGTCGTCCGCAATTTGCACCAGCGCAAATTGGTCCTCGGCATCAGGATCGTCCAGCACATCCAATTGTATCATACAACCTCTCGGCGCCACACTGTAAGGTAGAAAGTTGTAGCCTGGTTGAGGAGGCTGCTCTGCCGAGACTCTTTTCCAGTGCCATGCCATTCGGGATATCACCCCCATGTTGAAGAAGTCATTTGCGGCGGCTATGCAATCACTGGAGAAGGTACCGAGGTCGTTGAAGGAAGTCGAGAGGGCACTGAGCTCGGTGCAGGTGGGTTCGGCAGGTTCGCGAAGGTCGTTTAGAGAAACATCGGTCGGCAGTACAGATCGGGCTACGGCTTCGGCAGCGAAGAGGGGATTTGCGAAACACACGCTGCTACAGGTGACGAGCATTCGGGCGATGAGAAGAGCGAGGTAGGAGACGTGCATTTTGACAAAAGATGGGAGCAATGAAACATCAATAAGCTTTAGCGGTCGCGAAAGCCAAGAGTATGCTCACAGTACTTAGTATAAATTGACTGAAGCAGGTATCTCACTTCTTATTAAATACCTCGAACACGAAATCTGATAAAGGGTGAAAAGACATTTGCACCTTTGACTTAGCGACATATATCCGCCTGAATTTACTGGCGCATTGCTTGTAGCTGTGCATTCGATTTCTCTCCCTGGACCCTCCGAAACTTACATAGCCGCCGCTCTGCAATCGTGCACGTACGGCTACATTGCTACAGCACAGCCCCAAAATCGGAGTCTCACTCTGAAGCAACCACATCCGCGATCTTCGTCCTAAGACGAGTTTGGATCCCGGTGTAGTCTTGCGTTCGTCTTAATGAAGGGCCGGATAATAGTACTCCGCCCTAGCGCTTGTCAGTGCAATTCAATAATTACTCACGACGCAACGCTTCATTTCTTGAACAGTAGTTTCGTTCGACTGTTTTGAGTGAGAGGGTAACACAAGTGGTATCCGCGAGCTTTCCAGACAAGAATTCAGCCATGGTCCCCTGAGGCATTACGCTCTTCTGCCTAAAAGCACGGAGACACTCCTCTAATAATAGACAAGTGCGCGGCTCAGAATAATCCCGCAACAGCCAGTACTTCGAGAAAGATCCCCAAGGTAGTTCTCAGGTCTCCATAAGGCTGCTTTTAAGGATTTACGACTTTAGGCATCATTTAGGGGGACTGGCGAAAGAAAACCACAAGTACTTCAGTCAAATCAACAAGACTCTTTCTCGAGGGCGCCCATATGCAGGGTTAGGAGTCAAAGTCAGACCAAGTTTGCAAGCAAACGCACCTGGATGAGTACCTAGAGGTGGACGTTCAAGCCTATTATGAAAAGTGTTTTCAGAAGGTGAGTGATCGACGACGCTATTTGTTACCATGTAAACGGTCAGCCGAGTGCAAGGCTCTGCACTTGTCGATCTGAATAGAACAATGGCCATTTATTCCAAGTTCTGTTGAGCTTTGGTGCTGATCTCTCATAAATGTTGTCTAGGATTCAAGGAAACCACTCTAGTGACGGCTTACGCGCTCATTTGTGTTGTATGCGCAAGACTATGGATCCAATCTTTGCCGCCGCCTCCACAGTTGGCCTGGTCGGGGCTGCGGCTAAGGTCACCGAATCCCACTTCAGGTTCATCTGAAGTGTGAAAGATGCTCCCGAGCTAGCCTCGAATGTTCTGCAAGAAGTCTCCGATATCAGCGCTTGCTTGAGTCAGCTGCAATGTTCCTTGATAGGCCCCAAAGCAGCATTTAGATCCAACGGGAACCTCCTGATGGTAGAACAAACCGTGGTTGCCTTGTCTAATTGTGTTTTCATTCTTCGGAGCTGGAGGAGATGATTGAATCACTGAAACCGTCGGATGCAATGCAACTTGGCAGACTGTGACAGTGGGCTCTCAAGGAGCATACCACGAAGCCTTTGTTCAAGCTCTTGCACAGTTCCAAAGTATCACTCAATCTCATGATGACAACATTGAACTGGTAAGTTGGGCTGGAGTCTCAATGTATAAGGACAGTACCTGATGTCTGCTGGTATTAGCGCTTCCATAGGTGAAGTCTCAGCGTCAGTGAGCGAGCCTGCCACCCTTGTCACTCAAGTTCTTGCGAGCAATCAAGAGATATCCCGACAGATGACATGGATAGAGCACCGTACATTTGGACGCCCACCAAGCACCATTTCATCAATCACTGGCCGAGACGCGGTCCCGAATCCATCACTGGTCGGAATGAGCACAACAGAGGACGACATGAGTGTCGTGACTATCAAAGGACTTATTTCGGACTCGCAGTATAGCACAAAGAGCGAGCCGATACGCACCTTTGGATTTTCATTCGATCAAGATCTGAACACTCACCGTCCATACACACGAACTATGAAAAGACACTCAGTATGGTCTACAGCATCATTTGAGATCCATACCATGGGATGGTCATGCCGATCGGGTATAAGTCTCGCGGATGTGCCTCAGATATCTGTCATAAATCTACCAGTTTCCCCCAAGGATTTAAGAATGGGCAACGCTATTCGGCATCAAGTGTTGAGGATTTGCGTGTCGGCTTGGTTTTTTCGAAACCGGAAAGGGAGCCCTCGAGTTCGCTGGCAATACAATCAGCACCAACATCCAGCAGACGCCTGAAGATCAGAAACCCCGTCCCGCGGGCCAGAGGAGTGGAAGCTTGAACAACATTGAAGAACAGGCATGCGTACGGGCGGCCACCAGGAACATATCACTATCGGATATGATTCTTAGCACTGAGCTCGGAAGAAGTATTTGGTAATTGTCCGGTAATTAACTACTGCGATTCGATAGGTGCACCTCGCTCTGGCAAGACGACTAGATGTAACCATTTGGAAATACTCTGTGGATACATCTGCAAAAGCGTGGTTTAATTGGTCCGATCAATATGGTCAAGAGAATGACCAAGAGACTCACAACACCATAGCGATTTACTTTCCTTACCATCCTAACCCACTAGCTTGCAGCTATCTTGCAAAAAAGTTTTTGAAGCTCGATGAGCAGCTAAACGTTTTCGTTACGGATATACCGGACCAGCGCGGTTGACTGGGACTCGTTCAAGGCAACTATGGACAGCATTGCACAATGGATGTCACGGCGTCGATCATGTCGTCGACGCCGGTTCCTGGCTGTCCTCAAAACTCTCAGTATTCTGAATCCACCCTATGACCCTGTGGCCTGGATTCAAGATACTGCCAAGGATTCGGTCAGCCCTATGATCTGATAAGATAAGGGCCTTGGCCTCGAGAGGTCGTTGTCTTTAGATACTTCTTCGCTGCATTTCCTTGAGCGAGATCACACATGGCCGCCGCTACTCAAGCGTCACCACTGCTCGCTCTCCCTTTCGAGCTACGTACGAAGGTCTATGAGCAACTCCTCAGACCTGATCCCGACCGCCTCCACACTTTTTACCATGACAGACATGGCAGAGAAGCCTCCTTCGACATCGACCCCACCATCCTCCGGGTGAACAAGCAAATCTACTCCGAAGCCGTCTCAATCCTCTACGACACCACTCATGTTCGAATCCATCTCGCGACGCCAGTAATAATGCAATGCACCGGCGGCAACTATCCTGACCACATCGTTGACCCGCCTGATCTCTTCCGCAAAGATGCTAAGGGGGCTGTTGAGCCAGCGAACAGGTTGGACTGGCGTACTACACCGTCGATAGTCAAAGAATTGGAAATCGAAGGGCGGCTTGAGTCTACAGCGCACGGCTTTATCTACCCACACTGCTTCCAACGCCTGCACAAGATACAGCTTGTTACCTCGCGCCATGCGATATGGGGCGATGGCGAGTGCCGCAGTTACTTTTCGCATACCGGAAAAACAGTGTTGCGGATCCTTAAGCTTCTGGCCGAAGAGCAAGCCACGAAGCCATCCATGACGAAGCGCCTCAGATTTACCATTCAGCCAGACTGGCGGACCGTCGAATCTGAACTACTGATGAGAAATGGTAAGATGGACAACAAGATGAAAGTGATTGTTGGGTTGCTGAAAGCGCTTGAGAGGAAGACAGACGCCGAGATTGAGGTTGAAGAAGGGGGTTTTAAAAAGACACTGAGGGAATTGAAGATGGAAGAGGTTGATGTTGATGAGTGGGAGAAGGTGCTGCTTGCTGACGCTGATATTGACTTATGAAATCTGCACACGCCACTCACAAATGCAGATTTTGTTCTTGTGACGAGTGCGGAGGTCGTGAGTTTGCATGGCGGGGAAAGCTCATAGGAGTAGCGGGGCTGGTGGACCCAGGCTCCTTTCAGATTCGCAAATGTAGCGACAATACGTCCTCAACACGAACTTACCGCAAACTCCAGACCGCTCACGAAAATCACGAAATATGGGTTCGGCAATTGAGGCTTAATGTTATGAAAGGGGCTTCCAGTGGCTAGAATAATGACGTCTACGAAAGATCATACTCCCTCGAATCTCTCCCACACCTTGGTCTGAACATATCCATTCCTCTCCACCATTCATCGGAGGGTTCCCAGTATAACGTCACATTCTGTCTATGGCTGCTCCTAATCCCGAAGCCGCCTACCCCACCTTCTCCGCTCTCTACGCGCACATCCTCGCCCTCCCTCCGCCCCTCACCCCTCCAGCCAAAACCACCTCGACCAAGCTCACTGCCCAGATTTCCAATCTATCTCTACACCCCACCCTTGAAGTCGCCCTTCACATCCTCAACAATGACCTGCCCTCGGCGCATTTCCTAGTCCGCCACATGCAAGCACCGCCCGCCTACGAGGGGATGTTTTTGCATGGCATATTGCATAGGATCGAAGGGGACTACGATAATGCCAGAGCTTGGTACAGGAACGTTGCAGAGAGTGAGGTGTTTAAGGAGGTGTGGGAGGGTGGGCAGGAAGAGGCGACACGGTTTATTGGGAAGGTGGAGGGATTGGTGAAGAAAAGAGAGGGCAATGAGGAGGAATTGGAGAGGGAGAGTTCGAGGGAGATCAAAGCCGTTGTGGAATACTGCAGGAAGAAGTTCGGGGAGAAAGAGATGCTAGATGCGACGCAGGCGTGGGTGAAGCCCGGAGAGGACCATAGGAAAATGGGGGAGGAGATGGTGTCTGGAGGGAAAGGGTTCAGAAAGTTCTGAGATTTGGGGAATGGCAGTGGTCGAGCTGGGCTTAGCAGGCTCTCCAATACGTTGCTGTCTTTCCCTAGCTTCCATACACGCTCAGATTGGCCCACATGGACAATGTGCATGCGCTTTTTGCCTGATTGGCTGTTTGCTTGACATTGTCATCCCATGACTTTTGGCTAATGCCCGTTTGTCACTTCATCATCATCCAGCGGCTGAATGTCCGGCACCGGCCCTTTCGGTACCACAAATTTCGCGTCCGGCTCAGCTCTGCCCTTGGCTCTCAAGTATCCATACTTGTACTGCAAGCACCAATTAGCACTGAACCTCAATCCATCTCTCCCCCCAGAAACACTCACGGTCCAAAAGTTCACCGTATCCTTGAAAGCGTGCCCGTTGAGCGTCTTTCCTCCATCCCAATAAAGATTCCTCAACCACCGACTCAATCTGGGGTAGTCGTGTCTGATCATTTTCAAATTGCACATGAAGATGTTGTAGTAGGCAACATCGAACCTGATCATTGTCGTATACAGCCTGATATCCGCTTCGGTGATGTACTCGCCGAACAGGTATGGATGATGCCCCGGTTCTCCGAGGTGCTTTTCCAATCGATCCAGTGATTCGAACAGCGGATATAGATTCGCTTCGTAAGCGTCCTGTGTCGATGCAAAGCCGGTCTTATAGACGCCATTGTTGACAGTATTGTAGACCCAGTCGTTCATCGCATCGATCTCCTTTTGCAATTTCTCAGGATAGAACCCACCCCCCGGCTTCCCGTCTTCGCGCAGATGCTCGGGTAGCAGCTCGTCGAATGCCGAGTAGAACATCCTTATAATCTCACTGCTCTCGTTATTCACAATCGTCTCCGCCTTCTTATCCCACAAAGCGGGCACCGTAAACCTCCCCTCGTACTCCGGATCGGCCTTCTTGTACAGGTCTTGCATTCGGGTAAAGCCGTACAGTGGATCTTTCTCGTCCGAGCCATTGCGGCCGGTGAAGAGCCATCCCTCTTTCGTGAGCTCGAAGTCGCAGACGATGAGTTGGATGATGGATTCTAGGCCTTTGAGAGAGCGGACGAGGTTCGCGCGGTGTGCCCAAGGGCAACCCTGATTGATGTAGAGGGCATAGCGGTCTTTTTCTGGAGGGAATTCGGAGTCGGGCGATGAGGAGATGGAGTCGCGGAATTGGCTGCGCTTGCGGCGGAATTGACCGTCAGCATCAGCGTGCTTGTGGATTGGGGCCTGGAAAGGAGGTTAGCTGTGGTATCACATGGGGTTTGGATGCTTCAGACTTTTTCAGGCATGTTGAGGAAGATGTCTGACGAGAAGAATCCCACCCTGACTTGATTGAAACCCGAGAAAGATATAGATATCTATCTCTTTCAGAAGTGTGATTGAGGCATCAACTTTGGTGGAAAGAAGAAAGCGGTCTATTAAAGAGACCGAAGCATCCCAAAGCAAAGATCATGGTCCCCGCAGATTACAAATGCAGCTCGAATGTGGGGTATGTCCACGACCGCAGGGGGTTAGGGTCACCATCGTAACGGCCCGCCAGTGGCGTTCCTTCCCTACCTCAGGAAGTCAGAGCCACTACAGTACTAGAATACATGATCAGCCATGAGTTGCGTTGGCATTTTCGGAGCCAAGCAGAATATCAAGACAAGCAGACCTGATCAAACTTTGGACAGCTTATCTTCCTTGTCCGGCATGTTCCTCGACTCCACCTTCGCAGAGTGCTCTGATGGGTGTGAAGTCGAATGATATTCTGGTCTCCTTCAACCTCATCCTGTGAGCGTTCAATCTCGACAGGCCTTCAGCTGACAAATTCTCATGACACAACAGACATTTTTGATTCAAGTGCACGAGATTCATGTACTCTGAAGCCAGGATTTTCGCGTGAAAAGGCTTTCTTTGCACCTGCTCCACTTCAGGCTTCAATTGGTCAAAACCGATTGGGCTGTTCGTCTCTGCGTCGCGAACAGGGGCAAACTTTCTAGCAATGTCCGTAGAAAGACATCAGGGTGTATGGCAGCTCCAGTCTGAGAGAATGAAGGACGTTCCTGCGCTTGGTTTCCTGATAAAAGAGAATATCCAGCTATGAAGCGGCTTCGCACTCTTAAGTTGCTCGATTTACTCCATGGGATGGCTCGACACATCAAGCTCTTGTCAAGATTCCGTAGAATAAAGTCAGGAGAATTTGAAAGTCCCTTCAAGAAATTGCCTCGAGTATTTTCCTTCTCATCCCACGAGGGCCGAGAGTCCCTTTCCTTTAGAGCCGCAAAAGATGCATTCCTCGTTCACACGCGACTCCATCCCTCGCAGGTCTTATAACGATCCAACCCAAAAGAACACCCTGGATTAACGCTTGAAATTGGGATTAAAGAAATGATCTGGACCACGCTGACAAACGGCTTGACTCTCTTAGGTTTGGTGATAGCTCGGGAGGAGACCATCTGTCTGGCAACCTATGGTGGCGCCCCAACCAGGTGTTTTCTAGGTTTCGATTCATCGACCTCCACTAACACGTAGTCAAGCGTTCCAGCACCAGGTCGAGACACCCTAATTCAAGTGGTTCCGGAGTCAGGACTGCTTGCACCCCGCAGCTCTTCTGACCATGGTTACCTCGATTTCGCAGGCCAAATTCAGGAAGCCTGCCAAGGAAACTCAGTTTTTCGTCTTGTCATTGGATTCTTTTTCTTCGATGGAAATCAGATATTGGTGTCCAGGTATGTATCAGAGCAGCGGTTAAGCAGCTCGGCACATATTGCAGCAATAGACAGTATTTTCGCAATCGCTGCGGATGGAACATTAGTTTGGAACAATGATGCATATGAGCGCGGAACTACCAGATTTGGGACTGATTCTGAGAGGCTCTATGGAGTATTTCATGGGATTGTGCCCAGTCAATTGACCGCGGTATCACTGAGGGCCATTGATCGTAAGTCTCCCAAAATCTAGTTGCTCTTCCTGCTATAATTTGGCAAAGAGGTGCTGACAAATTTTTTCCTGCACCAACAGCCGCTGAATGCCCGAAGTGGACCCAATCTCTGTCCAGCATTTCAATACTCGCTTCGTCCTCGGTTTTCCCGGTCCTCTCAACTTCTTATATAGATAGTACTAGGTCATGACTTTCGACTTCGCGTGCCAATTCTACTGGATCAGTGATCTCCACCCCGCGTTCCAATTCTTCGGCTCCGGCGTCATGGACTCCGATTGGATATTCCTCTGGTCCTTTACCTTTCAGCGCTTCTTCAGTATTTCTGTAATAACTGCACTGATGGCGAAGGCGATGATGCAAATGGTGTTTAGAGAGAATAACCTAAGCAACCGCACTCGCCGGCAAGCCATCGAGATGAAAAAGTCGCCCGGATCCGATGGACCCGAGGGTAGCATCTTCCCAGGTCTGGAGCTTACAATAGATACTCTAGGGGACTCTCTGATCGCTAGCAACTTCGACAGTCGTTCCAATCCGCGTACACTGTAAGTCGACCTTGGATTATCGTCATATTCGCTAGTTTCCCCCAATCAGCACCAACTCAGACTATGCGCCCCTGATGATATTATCGATCAGGGGACGGATAGAAAAGGGATAAATGGCATCAGCGCCGTTGGCGCCCGCAGCAATTACGTGGAATTATCGATAGCAAATGCATTACACTGTTGTACCGCGCGTCTTAACAGCAAGGGCTGCGGGGAGGATGCATTTGGTGGTGCTCCTGGTTTTCAAGCTGTACCCTCTTCCTGGCCAGTTCGGGTTCTACATGCTTGCACGCATTTAAAATCGGGACCTATCAAAGCGACAGTGGTGTCGCACCTGGAGTGTACACAAAATTGTTCAATGGCGCTTGTGGACAATGGAATTATGTGGGGGAAGACTGATCCTAGACCCTGTGTTATAACGAAATCATCCTCCAACCATTTTCACTCACCACCACCTATATCTAGCCGCGTTGCATGACGTCGATGGGCAAGCTGTTCTCCTGGCAGACCCAAACATGGTCATTCCATCAGTGGCTGGATTTGTGGACACTACGAATGTCATCAAGGGACAGCTTCTGCACCCGCGCCTTATGCCTGCAGATAAATTTGGATCAATCCGCAGAGCTGGACGGATGATTTTAGTCTGCATTAGTTGTGAGGTAGAGGGGGGGGGGGGGGGGGAAGGTGGATATTGGGATCACATGTCGGGAAGATTGAAAGTGGAGCATCCCGAATATGGGACTTAGATGTTTAACACTTCTCCTTCTACTGCGCGCGGTTGCTACTGCAATGGGTCACTGTTCACTTGCTTCCTTCGTCCTTCGTGACGGTCCCACTGCTCTATGAAGTTCCAAGATTGACCGCGCAGACCAGGACTTTTCCCTTTGCTAGCCTGAAATAACCGTTAGCTCGACCCCAACATTCCGACACGTCTTTTCCAAGGTCTTAATCAAGTCCTTGCCCCCCTGCTCAGTTCCCATCTCGGGCTCCGAAGTCAGCTTGAGCACTCTCAAATTGGGAAGAAGCTGCGACTTTGCTTTTTTAAAGGTCTCGACCAGTGGTGATACGCTGTCACAACACCGATGATCCCCAGTATGCAGGTAAATCTCTTCGATTGAAGCTGGGAGCAGGTCTGCAAACTCATCAAATTGAGCCCGAGGGCTGAGGAAGTGGACATTAGTCTCTCGCTTTCGCAGAATTGGAAAGCCACGAAAAGATCCTAGGAGTCCGAATTCTTCGGTCTGACTGGAAATTATTCTTAGGGACTCAAGGGACTGCTTTGCGTGGGCTAGCAGAGCGGCTCGCATCCAGAATGGCTCGAATTCATTGAATTCCTGAATCGGCTCCACGTAAGTGAATTCCTTCAACCCTTTGATACTTTCAGAAGCTGAAACAGCGTTTTCGCGCCCACTCCACTTTTGACGAACGTCATTTTCGTGATGCAAGAACTGCCTGACATGAGACGTTGCCCCTCGTTGACTAGATCATCATGATCCTGTGTGACAATCAAGTCTTTGACGTGTATAGATTGCACCAGTGGTAGACTAGAGAATATCTTCAGCCACAACCAGTCCAGGGAATAATCGTCGATTGGGAACTCAATAAAGAGATTCACCCTCGTAAGGTGCGTAAGAAAAGTTCGATTCTCTGCCCGGGCAATGCGCTGTATAGTCTCCGGGAACTTATTCGAGATGTCCGCGATGCTCGTCAGTGTTATTGTGGTGAGCTCAGGAAGAAGCAAGGACAGAAGTGCCAAGATTGGATCCTCATCCCCTGCCCTGACCTTTTTGATCCAGCGCCTAACATCGTTCTGCGGTACGAAGCTGGCTATCTTAATCGCTTCGATGAACAGCGCCATATCATCATTCGGATAAGGGGTATGACGAGTTTTTGGCCACTCTTCTGAGTATGAAATGTGATCATCACCATCTCCATCTGAGTCCTGCTATTCGTCCTGAAAGCGGCCGATAGAGAGGTGGGTAACGTAAAGAGCAACGCGTGGCCGGAGAAGGACATCCTTGAGCAGGAACGCTGGGGCACTTGCACGGGTGCCCGGTCCTGTTTCGAAGATTGAATATTCTCTCTTCAGCTTGTTGTGCTCCTCCACGAACGGTCTGCCTATAGCGTAGATATCTTTCGACACTATGGCAAAATTCTCGACGTCTCTAGGCTCTTGGAAGTATCCCCAGAATTCCGAGATCATCTCGTTGGGTAGTTGAGAGAAGTGCGTCATTTTGCGAAGAGAATGAAACTTGAGCTTGCTTCGTTTGACGGTCGTTTTGCGGTTTGATTGAGGTGATGGTGAAATGGATGTGACAATTTCGAATAGTCTCACATAGAGCTTCCCAGTGTTAGTTCAATTCGAATTGCGGAACTCTCATCTGGGATGAGTATGATATTACCTGTCTGACAGATGTAAACGCAGAAGCATGTGACTCTTGCGGTGATAGAACCCTGTGTACAAGTGTTTTAAACTCAGATTGAGTGTAAAAGTATGGGCGCAGCTGTGAGCGGTGGGAGCGGGGAGTGAATGAAGCTGGGGTTGCTCAGGACGGAAGGTAAATCAAAGCCGATTGTAGCCCATCAACGCTAGCCCCGATTTGCCTCATGCAATAGATCTGATCAGATACTGTAGCTACAGGCGTAATGGCTTGTGTGGAAGAAGATGCCCAGACAATTGGTCGGGCTTGGTGATTTCAATACTGGTAATGAGAGCAGATATTGATGGACTTCATTTAGCCATGAGAGTTACGAGTCGAGAACCCTCGGCAGGATGATAAGAGGCCAAACATGCGGTTGGGTTGAAAGGATGTCAAAATGTAAGGCTGGACAATTGTTTGCATTAGTCCAAGAGCAATACAGAGGAAAACGCTACTTTTCAATCGGACGCGCTACACTGTTGTGAGGCATGTCACGTGACCCAGACTTTCAATTACAAGGGGGCGTCCGTGGCCAAGTTTTCTACAAAGCGTAGCCCAGTTGATTGGACTTAGAGCAGGCCTCTAGCCCATTGAATCGATATCTACATAATCTTCATCCCCCCAATGGCAATTCTCAGCAAGGCGCCCGATGGCCCGCCCCCAAGTTCTGGACAGACGTCCCCGAACGGTCCAGGTTGGACCGTCCAAAGCCTTTAGACGGACGGTTTGGATCATTGGGCGCCTTGGCAATACTCTGCACCACACTCCCTTCATGACCTTCCCTCAACTTTCACCACTGGCCCCTCATGGTACCTCCAAGCATGCACGATATGCTCCAAACACGCTATGCCCATAACCCCCCAAAACAGAACCACAGCCCGGTTGAACGTCTGCGCGCTCGGCTCATTGCCAACCGGCCAGAAGCTCCAAAAGTAAGCCAAAACGATGTAGATCATCGCTACTGTATTAACGTAGATACCCGCTTTGCCCAAGGTCCGACGAGCCGGATGGAAAGGTTCGCCACGGAGGCATTTCATAAGGACGCAGCCGATCGAGATACCCTAGGTGCGCCCACCCCAAGGGAGAGCACTGCCGAAGGCGACGGTTGAGCCAATATTGATGAAGGACATGGCGATGGTGAAGTTGCAGGTCACGAGGATGGAATTGCCGGGTACTTGCCATTTCGGGCGCACCTGTTGTGATTAGTTAGATACTTCTCTGTGTGTACGGAGATCAAGTGCAGGGTAAGTACACGAGCCAGCCAGTTCGAAATCGGCATCCCATCATCTCTAGCGAAAGCAAAGAGTTGTCGGGAAGTCGAAGCGTAGGTGCTTGTCGTGATGAACATCAGCAGTAAGAGTACGGCAGCGGTTAGACCTGTGGCGCCTGCCACTGAACCCGATGCGTCCAGCCCGTTATGCACATAAGCCGGTGAGTCTTGCAACTTTCAATTGGTCCGAAATGAGTGACCTTCCAGCCCGTGATGCATAGCGGGATGGATCAAGACGTCTTCTTTCTGATTTCTAATTCTTTGGGGTCATAGCCTCACAGATAAAAGTAGATTAGCATGTCGTCAAGCAAAGAGATTCTAGACCTTGACATAACCATTCAAGTGATTAAGTCCGAGTCAGAATCCAGATGTGAGCAACATAAGAAGGATGAACGAAACAAAGGTCGAGCGACATGTATTTACAAAGCAGGTCGACGTCTAGAACCCCGCTATGCACCAATACATGCAAGGCTTTAGCCTTAGCATTATCATACACATAAGACAGGACTTCTCCCAGCGGTAAGATCTCATGCACGGCAGGATCATTGCCTTTGTGAACATTAAGACCGCAGACTTGAAGACAGAAGCGACCGAGCATCATATTCAACGAGCACTTCATGCGCTACTGATGGCTTGGATATCCCTGTGTCACATGATCTGAATATACAACAGTATAGGAACAAATTTCGTTATTCAATAAGACCCCGCTAAGAAGCTCACGCAGTCGGTGATCAGAATTGCGCTGCAACTTCGTTGAATCATCTCGTGTTTCGTCCCTTGACCATAAGGCTCATAGCATCCAGAGAGTCGACAGCGCTCACGCTAGACTCGCGTGTGCCAAAGATAATCCTACGTGTGACTTTCCTGCAAAGTTTTTAGATCCCTTTTCCAGACCCTCCGTGCCTGATTGTAATGGCGCGAGATTGTCAACACCCGAAGTTACACCCACTGAACCATTTGTATCACTAATGAAGAAAGGATTGCTAAACGCAGTATTGTTGCTCGAAGCATTCTTAGATGCATCCCATTCCTACACAACATAAATCGATCCAGATTCTCGTCCGTCATGTATAAGGCTCATAGCATAAACAAAGCAGACGATACTCCCGTAAGATTTTCGAACGTTATTGCACCTAACACCTAGCATACAATCATGTTCCCTGATGTTCATCGCTGCTGATTAGCGAGCGCATTATCGCGCACAAAGAAATACGTTTTCAAGCTTTGAGTACGACGATGGAATTTGTGTCCGGGAGTTCGGTCATTGAACGACATGGCGACCAAGGCCCAAGTGAGTAACAACAGTCCCGCAGGCGACGAATCCGCTCGTGAACAGCTGTTTGTCCGACGGTATCAGGTAAGTCAATATCCAAGGCAGGGGAGCTTTGAAAGCAGGCGACAACGAACCAGGCCAACAACAAGCCACCAGTCGTCAGCCTTCAATGGCACCTTACCAATCCGTCTCGAGACGAATCGTAGGACGACTGCTATGTAGGCTGCAGGCAGGCACACGGCCAGCGAGACAACAATTGCTTGGACTCGAGAGTCGTAGACATCGAGGAGCTGATCGCCTGACGCTATTGTAGGAGTAAGGGTCGACATTTCCTTATGGAGTGATAATGTTCCTATCGACACCGAGTACGAGGTATCAAGGCCAAGGCTGCCAGGTCCCAGGAGCCGAGGATATACTGATTTCTTCCGTTGATTGTTAGACTGAGGGTTTTCGACCCTGACTAATTTCGCAGGAAATAGGCAAAAGGGGAGTGGCCTGTCGAGGGGCGAAGGTTGCTTGCATCACTATATATCTTTGCGTCTCGAATGCCATCATAGTTCACATTGAGAGTCCACAGAGGCTAGGAGGCTACGTTTCACGAGATTCTCCTCCATTTGCTCACGTACGCAGTAAGCTTCTGTATGAGTAATTACAGCAATGCAGAAGTTCGGCTGGGATGTGGATGTCAACATGAGCAAAAATGTTCGCCGGTCAAATGAAATCGAAGCTGCAACTCGGAAGCGTTCTCCTTGCCACAGCCACGTCTGTGGATGGCCCTTGTACTCCTTCGAAAGTCGGACAAACTTTTCCGGCCTTTCAGATGTAAAGGCTTCTCAGCACCCATTCTCGGGATCACTAAGTGTGTGCCACGATTCGCAGGTCGCAACAAAAAAGATTGAGCCTTGCGTTTAGAGAGGCTTTGCCACTCGGGCGCACTTTGGAGACAGGCCTCTACTACTCTCGACCTCTTTGTGCGCCACAAATTTGGGGGTGGTGGGGGTCAGGTCTAACTCAGGTTTCAGAGCAAACCCCGAACTTCGCACGTTCATATTTTTATCACTAAACAATATCACCGGACTCAAAAACTTCTAGTCAATATACTTATGATCGTTTCGTGAAAGCGAAAACTTCGGATGTCGGCGTATATTACGCGCTCTACACGCGGATTACGCTTTTCAGAACGACGAGACGAGTTTTGGTATACATTCCTCAACAAAACAGGTGATGAGCTTGATTCGCGATCTTGTGTAGAGTGTTCAGGCCAAGTCGTCTGAGTGATGGTTGTGAATTTTTTTGGAGGCAAGTACGGTGGTGCTGCAAAAGAGGGGGTGTGGATTGAACTCCGAAAATGTCAAACACCGAGGGCATTGATTGATTGCTTATTCAGATCAGACGGGATATGGTTTTGTGTAAGAAAGGTCTACGATGAGCCCACGAAGATATAGATAGCACTCGAGTGTGACAAAGATGGTATTATCGCATCACAAATGTCATGGCAAAAAGCATTAAGCAATGCAAAGAGCCTCACACTCGTTCCTCGCTTCGGGGGCCAATCATATCGCAAGCTCATTACGGCATCCCCCCCTTCTGGGGCTACTGAGTACTGAGACTAGCAAAGGCCATGCCGCCATGACCTGAGAGACTAAGACACCAAATAATATTGCCAAGACAGAGGAAGTTTTTGCTGGCATTGGACCAGCTGAATCATCCGGCAGCTTGCGTAGGTGCTTGATGTCTCGGGCTTCAATAAAGCGGCACTGATGCTGGCTACGAGTATGTCTTGGCGTGTTGAGGTCGGGCTAGATCACGTGATTACCTGTATATCTTGGCAAGCACTTTTGACGAAGGTATTCTGAAACACACTGTCAGTATTCGCACAACGTAGCAATTCAAGTAGCCCTTTCCTGTGAATGAGTATGTGAAACTCTATTAAAGAAAAGATACTGACTCAAAACATGGGTTACTCGGCTTGAGTGTTGCCTTTTACTCCCATGCATAACCCTCCCTCATTCCGTCAACTAAGAGCCTCGCTCACCTCAACTCTCCACACTGACACAAGCCATCTTTTCAAGTTTCCTCCTCACGCAGCACTCAGCACCCGTCCAAAGTACCCACTCTCAAAAACCAAACGGCCTCATCACCACCAACGCCTTGCAAGCGCCCACCACCTTCAAACCCGTCACCAGACAACATCCCACCCCACCACCATGCCCACCAACCCCAGCACCACCCCCACCCTCGTCCGCTTCTACGACCCCACCATCCAAGCCCCCGACCCCTCCGGCCGCACCGTGTCCTCGATCCTCGCCCTCCCAGACACCGACCTCGAACACCACCACGACTACATCCAACTCCTCTTCCCGCTCCCCGAACCCTCCCCCTACCACCCCACCGCCCCCGTCATCGACCGCGCCACCTTCGCCGCCTTCCGCTCCCGCCCGGACCTCCGCTCCCAACTCCTGCACTCCCTGACCCGCATGCTGCACTTCTACGGCCTCGACCTGCCCGCCCGGCCGCGACGACCACCGGCCCCGGACGACGACGACGACGACGACGACGATCCTCGCCCCGAGATCGTGCGCGGCGCCAACTTCGCCCGCGCGTCCCGGAACTGGGTCCGGCGCTTCGACCACAACCACCTGCGCATCACGCGCATCGTGCGCAGCCTGCGCGTGCTCGGGCTCGAAGGGCACGCGGCGGCCCTGTTCCGCGCGCTGGGCGCCGTCTACGACGGGGGCAGGGCCGGCATCGGGGCCAAGTCGATGATGTTCTGGACCCGGGCCGCCGAGCGGCCGCTCCATCTGGCGCCGGAGGACGAGAGGGACGAGGGGCGGGGGAAGGATTTCCTGTACGAGTATGAGGCGAGTAGACGGGCGGGAGCGAACGGTGATGGCGATGGTGGTGATGGCGCTCGGGAGGGGAAGGGGCTGGGAGGGGAAGGGGCTGGGGAGAAGGACGGAGCGGCTTGACGGAGGCTGGGAGACAGCCGAGCACGATCTCGGTATGGCTAGGCATCATCTTTCATCAAGTGGAGCGCCTATGGCCGTGGTGCCCCTTCGAACTGCGAGGTTCTTGCACTCGCCGTCCCGCTGGCTGGCATCTTCTGGCTTTCTAGAGGCATTGGGGATCGTCTTCACGGCAAAGGAGCGTTCGAGAAGCTAAGAGGTCGCTCTGCTATGCGTGCATCAGTAATGGCGATAGATTCATCTAGACATCTAGCCATCACAGCATAGAAAGTTCACGAGTATACCTGCCTCCCTCAATCCGTGCCATCTGTATCAGGAAATCACATACATTCGAAGGAAGTAGGACGGTAAGAAATCAGGTCGAAAGTGTTAGAAATCATGAAGCCTTACTCCTAATGCTATATGTGTATGCACTAAGTACCAATCTTCTCACAATCGGAGCCACATGCAAGACCCCCGACACCCTTCTCCATTTCCAGCTCCTCCCTCAGCGTCTTGATCACCTTCTTTATCTCCCTCCAAAGCAAATACTTCTCCAAGTGCTTCTCATCCTCCACCTTGCTCCTCACCATCATTTCGAAATCCGACTTCTTGCAAACACACCGCTTGTACTCGTATTCCTTCCCAAACGGCCCGTCTCCCTTTATCTCTTCGCCGGCATCTCCATTAGCAATAACCAACAACGCCGCCACAAAGGCCTCCTGAATATAAGCAAAACTGAAGCCCTGCGTAATGCCCGCGATCGCCTCGCAGAGAGCCTTCGGAAACTCCACGTCCTCATTGCTGTCCAGTTTCTTTCTCCAAAATTCACAGTACTTCACCCTCTCTTCCATATTGGGGTCCGGAAACAGATACTTCCTATCGAATCTGCTCGGCCTCTTGCTAATACCCGGATCCAGCCTCTCGAGGTGATTGGTACTCCCGACCATCATGATGCCGTCGTTATTCTGCAGCCCATCCACTTCATTCAAGAAATAGGAGCGGACGGCATCAGAGACAATACTGTCCAGATCCTCGAAGACCAGGAAGCACGACGCCATTTGCCTCGCCTTCCTGAAAATCAAACTGATCGCATGCTCCGGGCCCCCATAGCTCGCCAGACTCCTCACGTACAGCGTGGGAATTGGGTCATCCCTATCGTAGAGCGAATGCATCATGGCCTTGATGGAAATCGTCTTACCGTTCCCTGGCGGGCCATGGAAAATGACCCCCCTCTTCCACGGCACACGGAGCTTCTTGTACCGGTCTTTCGAGTTAAAGAATTTGGTAACTTCGCCAATGATGTTCTTTTTCATCTCCGCGTCTAGGATGACGTCTTCCCAATTCGCTTTCTGGATGCTTTGCCAGAGCTCAGAGCTGTATTGCCAGTAGCCACCGTCGAAGACGAGGACGGACTTGCGGATGGAGTTTTGCCATCTGCATGCCGCGAGCATGAGCTCGTCATTCACCATGGGCGTGGAGCCAAGGAGGTAGTTCATAGGGCTATCGTAGGGACCGTCGGATCCGACGATATAGTAGAGAATGTACTCTTTCGACTCCCACTTATACATCCATTTCCCGAATTGCACCGAGTCATAGAGGAATCCCGAACCGCCATCCATTCTCTTGGCCGGTGCCGTATATTGTCTGTGTTTCAAGTTCTCCGTTGAGGCATTCTCTGCATCGATGGGGGTTGCGCTGGCATGCCCGGTTGCGGCGTACACGAGGAAATTGCATTGGTAGCTAGGAACGACGGTGACGTGAAGTGAGGGGTATTGCTTGCGAAGTGCTTCGACGAGGACTACGTCGCTTTTGATGCGAGGAGCGGTGCTGTTTTGGTAGAACTCTTTGTAGACTCCGTCACGGCTTGAGTTAGAAGTGACGGCAGAGGTTGAGGTCGAGGGCCGTAGGGGCATAGTGCTCGGCCTGGTGTGCATGGTGGAGCAGAGATAGCGAAGACTGGCGGGCAGCTTGAGACTTTCACGGCAGGAAGTAGAAGAGAAGGATTAAGAGTTGAGAAGTAGGTGTAAGAGACGAATAACTGTGAAGCTGTAGGAGAGGAATCTACCTCCGTTGAGGACGGGCTGAGGCGCAGGCGGCATCTTCACAGCCCCTCGCCAATACGAGTCATCATGCGGTTTCATATCTCCAGGCAGACATTCGACCATCCCAGTGGCCCGCATATACCTTGATTCAGCAATCATGGTTGGATCTATTGCCTGTGGGCGTTGCGGATTATCAAAGAATATGTTGATCTAGCGTCGTCTTCTAATGGTGCTGGTGGGTCAGAGGTATCTCACGGAGTACTTGCGACACCACCCCACCCCAATAGACTTTATACGTGAACAGCTTGACCTGAAGCATCATCAACCAAGGGAATAAGCTTGGTTTTTGCATTCAGGACGCAGGTTTGGAAACGAATAGGTAATTTAGCAGAATGTTTTGGCGCGGGCCTTTTCTTTCTTTTCGTGGCCTTCAAGGCTACCCATTCCACTGGGCACAAGACGCTTCTGAAAGATGTTTGCATTGAGAAGACGAACCACTGCCTATGCTGAAGAAAAACCGAGATGACTCTATTCCCGATAACATCGTGATCCCCTCCCAGACAATGCATGCCTTCCCTTTTCCGCTTTCCTTTGATCGCATGGCCTCGTATCCCGTAATGCATTACCTCATAGCTTCTTAATGCACTGCCAGTCATTATTCCGTGAGTTAAACACAGCCAACGCTTTGAACACCGAGCAGTGTCGCACGATTGTCCTCAAGTATGATCATTATCTCTGCCTGAAGCCGGAGATTCCACCCATTACTCCCCCATGTGACGATTTGAAGTCCTCGGGTACTTCCCACTGTCTCCGAGTTAGATTGAATGCCACTTTGTATTTGAGATATGTACTTACGCCGTGTGTATGACAGGCCCTAACGAACGCCTCCACAGCTTCTCCTACCTGATAGTCCCTAACAACTCCTGGCTCTAGACGTGCTGGCTTTGGATCCGTGGACGACATTGCGAGTCGGACCTGCAAGAGAACTGATTCGATATTCGAGACAGCGCTCCAGCCAGAGTTGGTAAGGAGCTCCATGCACAGTGCCCCACCAGCGGTAACGTGACCGCCTCCACCTGACATGAAGCTCAAGAAACGAGGACGAAGGACACGGACGAAGGGTGGGCTCATAGGATAATTCTTGCCGAATCGAATCTCCATGACCACACTCTTGATGCCTTTAGACTTCATGTCTTCGGCTAGGGGAAGGTGCGATTCGAAAGAGTGTAATTCCACGATCCATTGATAGACATTGTTGATGAGTTCCCGGTCGATGTACCATCCCAGTTCATGAGCTGGGTGTGTGTCCTGGACTTTCAGCGTGGCGGTCAATTCCCGTTGTAGCGCTTTGGTGGCCATTGAGGTCGCGTAGGAAGGTGGTTCGAGTAGATGGAGCGTTTTGTGATTGAGACTGCCGGGCACAAAGTCTGTCTTCGATGCATCAGGTCTAGCTGAGTATGGGAGCTTCGGAAGAGCTTTGCCCTTTCCTTTGTTCGACTGTGACGGAGGAGCTTCTGTCTTCTCTTCTGTGTCCGAAAACAATACCTCAAGATCTTCATAGTCCGTGTTATCACTTATCATGGCAATTTCTTCCAGCTCTTGTACATTTGCAACTTTAACTTTCTTATTTCCAGTCTTAACGGTGACAGCCTTTGACACAGGTCTCCGGGATTTGCTGACCGCGGTGACGGGCATAACAATCTGTGAGCTCTTCTCCCCGACAGGCGTATACGACGGATCTTGTTCGTACACTTGGGTCGGTGGACTATCCTGAAGCTGCATTCCCTGGATGTTGCACCTGACGAACAAATAACGCGACTGAATCCAGTCGAGCTGGGCCACGACAAGGTGCGGATTCTTGCTAACAAACTGCGAAGGGGCATTCACAATCTCATTCAGGGCGATTGCCTGCGATATCCTCAGCTGACTGTGAGGCCACATCCCGGGAGCTAATCCAATATCTTCACCGCTGTAGCCGCGATACGGGACTCCCATTCCCATATTGCTGTACCCGACGCTAGTGTGGGCTTGCAAGGAATGATAGACACCATTGCCGAAAGCTCTGCCATGATCAGTCTTCTCGAAATGCAGACCCTCTCTGACGATGCCGTGCCAGTTGTGCAAGGGACTACCATGCCACGCAAAGATGGTAGGATGTTTCGCATTCGGTGTTGTATCACGTATCGATGTCACGAATCTCTGTTCTTTGTCTGGGGCACCTTGAGCAAAGCGAAATTGCATCCAGCCAGGCATCCCGGAAACTCTCTCTTCAGACTTGCGGTCGCTTCCCTCGAGGCTGTCGACTTGGATGATGCAGGAGCGATTTGAAGCAATAATCCAACGAAGGACACCAAGCGCTGCTGGTGAGATTCGCTCAGCCCATTGGCGTAAGGAAGTGTCCTGGCCGCCCTTGCTCCGAAGATAATCGCCCATCTGTTGCACACTGGGTAGGGTCTCTAGCAGCATACAGATTGAGTGCTGCTTTTCATGGTTGTCGAGATCGTCGAAATTCTGATCATAGACAATGAATTGGACCTCCGGGTGCTGATTCGTTGAGGTTTCCGCGAAGATCGTTGGTGGGGGGGTTGTAGCTGGGGTCAAAGTGCTTGGTATGTTGGCTCTGTTCGTACTCGAAAGGTGTCGCTGGGAAACACCCATAGCAGCCGGCTGGTCAGCTTTTCCAGTCTTCCTCGCGGCCCGAACCACTGGTGCAGCTAGTCTGACCGCTGGATACAACACCTCGATCACCCTGCAATGATAACGTTCCTCTTGTAGCGTGGGAAGAACAAAAGATACCCAATTGCCAGGATACAGCACTTGCGCGGCGCCCGGGGGGAACAGAAGCTCCATTTTCTGGCGATCAAATTTTGCTTTGTAGGTTGAGATTTCTTGCACGAATCCTTGTCTCTTAGGAGTCTGATAAGAGTTGACTCCATCAGTCATAGGGTAGGGTAAGGGAGGGTATGACATTTCATAGCTGATATTAGAGGCTTGGCGGTCCGTCATGAGTTTTGGTGCTGGAACCATAAGAGCCATACCAGTAGGAAGGTATCGAAGCTTGCGACAAGTGGCACTCGTGTAACAGAAGCTGACTAGAAGATCGACGACATGAGGCTGCGTTATGATTTCGTGTTCGATGCTCGGTCCGAAACCCAAGCTCATATACTGGTATAAGCATAATGGTCTCGAGCAGACATAGGGTTTCAGAGCTTCGAAATCGGCCTCCACTTTGCAGTTGCAAACCAAGCAGAATTCTGTGCATCGGACAAGGTGACGCAGTGCGAATTGCATGGCCGCCAGAGGAAATGAGCGCTCCTTCTTGTCACCGGTCATATGATCCTGGGTCACGAGCTTTGGTAATGTCTCCAGATGGTTGGAAGGATTCTCGGCCCAGTATTTGGGGTCTATAGCATTTTCTTCATCGAGATTCCGGCCTTGATTATCATTGAAGAACTCTTCTGCGCCACTCCAGTCAAAGCCCATTGCTTTGCGGTACCTGAGCAGGGGTATGAGTCGGTCGTTCAAGACATCGTCAAGTGGTTTGCCGATGAAGATACGACCTAAGACTCCTTTCCTAGACGTACTAGGTGCTTGAGTAGTAATGAGCTTCCGAGACTTGCTCTTGTCTTCCAAGACTGCGAAGGCAGCGATGGCCTCATCTATTGCAATCTTATACTTGGAGCTCAAGCCCACACGCATTTGCACTCCACTACTCCCATAAGACATGCCCTGGCCGATAAGGCGGTCTAAATCCTTGTAGCCGGCGGTGTATCGTATGAGCAGCATGAAGTACTGGTTTTGTTCCAGATGCCATGCTTGTAAAGCTTCGTCCGAGATACCAAGCTTAGCAACACGGCATGCAATAGTCACAAATCCGTCTTGGCCATTGTTGAGCAAGTTGCCCAGGTAGGAAATTCGAAAGCCAGCGTCTTTGGCCAAACGAAGATCCTTGCGGATTCTTGCATTCGAGGCCCGGATAGTCGTGCGATCACCCAGACCCAGCTGCGGAGCACTGTTCGATGAGTGATGCTTTGGCGATTTTGGGGACCAGACCCCGGCGTCACTGTCATATTCATCTGGGTCGTCAGATTCTTCGGGCTCGAGATCGGAGTCAATCTGCATAGGATCACCATCGTCAATGTCCACGGGATTGTGTCTGGAGCCCGCGGTTGCCCTGTCAAGTGTCTTGACAATCTTGGCCATCATGTCCGAGACTTTCATGCCAGGGCAGTTGCTCATGTCGTCTAACGCTGAGTGGATGGATTGGGGCACATTTTCAGAATTGGTGTAAAACATGTACATATGTGATTCGGGGTATTCTCCAAGATCTGTAACCAAAATCAGTGATCTCCGTCAAATGAGTTCCTCGTGGTACCCTTTTTTCTGATTGTCGGTTGCTCATACCACCATGCCTAGACAGCTAGGGGGGTCACTCACCCGGAACCATGATTGTAATTTCTGTAGCATCTCCATCGCTTATGTGATAGTGGAAGTTGATCATGCCATCTTCCTCCCCTGTTTTTAGACGTGACACATTAATTCGGTCAAAGACCTTGGTGGCCTCCTGCAGGTCAGCAACAAACGCCTTGCGAGGCATGGTGGCAGTGGGAGAGTGTATTGGTTGTGTAACCTTCCACAGACGCTAAGATGTGGGAAAAAAGAGAGAGAGATAGTGTTCGGAAAGAATAACGACCGGGGAGCTCTATTAAGAGTGGGAGTGTTGCTATTAAAATGAAGTCTAAGTGTTGTGGGATGTGGTGTGTCAAGGGGAAGTGATTCTTCCAATTGAGTCTGTGCTTGGCTTCTTGCCGTAGATGTGCTTGCCGTTCCAGAAATATTTGGGTTGTGAGAATGATTCTACTTCAGAATGCGAGGACCTAAAAATCTAAGAACTCCAAGTATCAAACAAAAAAAAGAAGACCCATTACCTCATATCCTGAGCGTATTGGGTGAGCTGTTCTCAGGCAACAATCCCACATTGTTTTGGACAAGGCTGTGACCGCGAGCCTCCAAGGATTCAACCCCGGATCCTTGCCAAGTTATCGTTATCTTAGCTCCGGGAGCTATAATAGCTCAGGAACGTCACCAGCTCTATCAAAAATGTGGGGAATGGGACAAGAGACGGGAATCTTCAAGCAGCACCACTACACTAAAACAACACCTTACTTTCAGAGGGATTCAAAGTGAAGAGACCCTCGGATCTCTACCACATTGACGACAGCTCAAATCCGAGCCTCGCAATGGAACTGTCCCGACCTCCGAACCCTCACATCGCCGAACCCCTCCTCCACCCCTTCCTCTCACCCACCTTCTCCCCAACCGCCTACCTCAACGACACCCTCCCCACCACCACCTCAAAGCCCACCCCGACCCTCTCATCCATCGCCACCCAAACCCAAACCCAAATCTCCGCCCTCGCCGCCCAGACGACCCGCCTTTCCACAACCCTCACGGGCCTCACGGACGACATCCTGCGCACCAGCTCGCGGCTCGCTTACGAAGTCGAATTGCTGCGCGGGGAAGCACTGTCGCTTGCCGATTCGCTCTCATCGAGCGGGGCTCTGGACGAGGCGATACGGGGATTCGTGCCAAAAGGCTTGGACGCTGCGTCCTCGCCCACGGACGTCCCCTCGTCGCCTGCGCGGACCGGGCATGGCAGCCAGTCGGCATCACCGAGCGCCCCTCGCAAACCCTCCCTCCCGTCCGATCCATCGAAGAAAGAACCCGAAGCTCTGCCCCACCTCCGGACCCTCCTGCAAGTCCGCTCGTCTTTGCAAACCGTAATCCAGCGCTTCAACCTCGCCTTGTCGTTCCCGATGCCGCCTTCCCTGTTGGCAACGAATACATCTTCTCTCATCTCCGTCTCTGCGCCGAACGTAGATCCGGATCTGGAGTCCAAAGGCCAAGCTGCGCTGGCTCGGTTTAAACAGGAAGTATTGGAGATGCTGGAGCGAGGAGATTTGGCAACGGCCAAAGCGAGAGTACAGGAATTGAGGGATGTGTGCGAGATATGGAAGGGTACGAGTGAGGAGAGAGCGAGGGGAAAGTGGGTCGATGGATTGGAGGCTGTTGTTGAAGATAGGGAAAGGGGAAAAGCTAGTGGTAGGCCTATGCTGGAGAAGAGAGAGGGAAGTGCGGTCAGAGGAGTGGAGACGAGTGGAAGTGGAGCAGGGCCCGGGTTTCTCAGAAGGCTGAGGGATGAGATCTATATGGAATAAGCTGCATGTAGGAATGTCACGTTCTCGCATGTAGGAAGAGCTACGATCAGGTCGAAAACTGCTATGCAGACCAAGGGATTCGACCCGCTATTACTGGCGCAAAGATATCCAGCTTCTCTGACCGACGAGACAAGCTAAAACGCATCAGGCCTTGTTCTTCCAACTAGGTAACCCATCGAACTCCCTCCTCTTCCGCTCAAAATACGCACTCTCGTTACTCGCCCAATCGATATCATCCTTCGTCCACTTTTTATCACCCTGATCTCTCAGTCCAATCCTCTCTCCCTTCGACCTATCAACTTCAATCTCCCCTCTCTTGACCATACCCACCCAAAGCGCTACGCACATGGCGATGACCATCCCCTCATCAATCCACCGCGCTCCCGGCTCACCCAGTGCAAAACCGCGCTCATCCAATAAGACCATGAAAGCATCGGTAATGCCACAGTCCTCTGGGGTTATCTTTCGAGACCAGCCAAGTTTAGTGGTGACGTACGCTCCGCGGTAGCGTGCAGATGGAGAGCGTGGGTTGAAAGGGAAAAGGTGGGCTCCGTAGAGGAGGGAGCCGTAGTAGAGAGGACCGAGAGCGCGGAAATGGCATTCTTCCCAGGGTGTAAGCTGGCATAGAGGTTCATGCGGAGAAGAGCACAGGATGTCCTCCTTTGTTGCTGCGGGAGGGAGGGAAGCGGCTTGCGCGAAGACAGACCAGATGGGGGCAGTGAGGCGGGAAAGCCAAGAAGTTGAGGACTGTATGGGTTGCAAGGACTGGATAGGTCGGATAGGTCGGATAGGTCGGTCAGGTCGGTTAGAGACGCTTAGTGGGCCTGTCTTCTTTTGAAGGAGACGTGGGTCGATAGCGGCTTCGCTGTCCTTTGATGTTCGCAAAATGGGCTCAACTGACGTGCCTTCTGTGATTTTCAGAGTTGTAATCTTCTCCGAGACCTCTATGACATGTTTCAGAAGGGCTTCCTTCGGAGTGGTCGGAGTGGGAGGCAACTCTCGCACAGCATGGTTCTCGCTGGGCGTTACGATCACGGGAGACTTTGTTGTCTGGTCAGTGTGTTGTATGGAGCCGTGGTCATGTGTGTGTTCCGCAGACGTTGCTATGTTGCTATCTTCGTCGTTGCTAAGGAGCGGACTCTCAACAGGCCAGGCCTTTGATGCTTCTAGTTGGATTTGTGCTTCAGCCTTCCTCGTGTTCTCCAGCGAAATATCGAGAACGGAGTCTGCTGATATGTCCGAATGATCTTGACTTTTGCCCTTCCGAGCATTTCGTCTCTTCGAAGCTCTTGCCTGGGACTGATCCGGCTGCCAAAACAAGTCCGACTCTGTGGGCTCCACTTCATCGCTGTAGATGACTTGGCTATTGCGCCTCCAAGGGCTTGGTATTTTGCTCCTACGAGGCTTGAGAAACTCCGGCTGTAGAAAAACATCCGATGCCTCGGGTGTCGTCTCTTTAGACTGATCTGCAGGTTGCGCTTCTGCTTGCCAGATATCGCTGTCAGCTACATCCTCCTCCAGGTCTTGCTTTTCTTCTTCCTCATCATCACTATCGATGACGATGACTTGACTGTTGTTGGCCATCTCGATCTGCTTGCTCACAGCCTCCCTTTCTCGCTGCCACTCTTCTTTTCTTGCAATCATTGTGTGATCGATGGCCGAGGCGTTTGGTCCTATCGACTCGTCACTCACGAGAACCTGCGCGCTCATCGACGCGGGTACTTCTTGCTTGATCGGAGTGTCTGCTTTCCAGCTCATACGGTCATCTTCCTCATCGACCAAACTTCTCTCTGGACTGGGTAACTGGTTATTCGAGAGTAGAGGATACCTGACTTGCCTTTCAGATCCTGGGGCTTTCATAAGGTGACCTTCTTTGGGATCAGAGGCAGGTAGTTGAGGGTAACTGGGGTTACTTGTCTGGTGAAAGACGTCGTCTCCTTCCTTCATGCCTGCAACAGATTCCTGTGAAGTTTGCCGCTGTCTCTTTGAAAGTTCTTCCCCGAGTCTAAGGCCAGCTTTCAATTCCCTCCTCGTACCTGCACCAAAGCCTCGAAATAGGTCGTCTAAACGCTCTTCTGGCAATTTGTCCTTTGGCACACGATGCGAGAGTTCGCGCTGAGGTGCTGGCTCCTCTACGGCCAAGACCGGAGACGGCTTCTGAGACCCTTGGGACGACGAATCCAGCTTCTGGCTTCGGTCTTTGGGGCTCAGCACTCCTTGGAGTGCGATACCTGCGCGAACAACTTTCGCAAGTTTGGGTGTCCCATCTGACGGAATATCAAGTTGACGTGGCGATGACCGATTCTTGAAAGCCTCGGGTGCTGGTGAGACTGAGGGTGAGGATGTAATGGTTGGAGTATGCTCATGCAGGCTTCCATACTGCTGCGGGGAACTGACAGAATTGTCTCCCATGGATGGTAGCGATGATACTGATACCATACTAAAACCCTCACTCTCGAGTATGGAGTTATACTCTTGGTACTGACCAGTCGGATCGAATTCTGTTTGATCCTGAGCGTCGTCTCCATGTGGGCTACGTGAGCGAGTGTCGCGATTGATCATGGATCGCCACCCATCTTCATTTTGCTGTCCAAGGGCTGACTGCCCGCAAGACGTTCCCGAAACTAAGCTCTGCTCTATTTGCGGTGTGAGCGCCTCATGCGATTGATATGATCTCTGGTCCGTTTGTTCTTCCTCACCCTGTTGACTTTTGAGTGTCCACGCCAGCTCTTTGGGGACATCCCCCGCAACTCCTGCTGAGCTAGATTGGCTTTCAATATCCGAATCCACAGCAATTTTCATAGGTGTGATCTCCTGCCTCCTTCCCCTACTCTTCGTCCGTGCAATTTTTGACCTTGTCTCAGCCGTTTCTTCTCCACCAACTAATGATGATCCCAACCACACATCGAGGTCATTCTTTTGGGGTAGACCCAGGCTGGCCTCAGTATCCTTGGGCTCTATACTCTTTCTTGGCCTTCCTCTGGGCTTCTTAGGTGGCGTGGCTGTCTCACTGTGTGCATCCACCTCTTGCTTCTTCGGAGACTCAAGTATGGTTTTTCGTCTCCCTCCTGCTTTTGGTTTTGGGGTACCTGCCCTCTTCACTGGATTTTCAAGGGACTTTCTCGGTCGGCCTCTTCCCTTCTTCTCCACGACTGGTGGTGTATCGTCGCCGCCTTTCAAGGGCACCGTAATGGTAGTGGTCCGCTCTGTCAGGCGTTTCGTAGGGGAAATTTCCGATCTCTGTATCTCGTCGACTTGCTCAGCTTGGACTGTAAGGCGGATCCGCCATGGACTTGTAGGGTGTGTTGTTTGCCTCGGCGACTTCATGGGTGACACATTGCGCCTAGGATTTGGTGGGGTGTTGATGTAGAATTCCTGAACTTGTGCATTACCCGATGCTTCGATCAAGGCTTTGCGTGGGGTGGTTAGAGAGCGGCGGCCTTCTTTCGTTGGTGAATGGCTAGGGATGCTCCCATTCGACATGCCAAGTGGATCGGGTGAAGAGAGCAGCATGTCTTTGGTGGGTGCCATGTTTGCGGTCACAGTCCCTCAATTAGAGCTGGACACTTTCTAAAGTATATCTTGAAGTCACGCCAATACACGAAATCGTTGTTGTGTTGCGCGAGTATGTGGGCTCAAGAAGTTCGTAGTCCCAAAAGATAATAAACAAAGCCAGCGCTAGTCTGGCGCTTAAGTCCGATTATTCGGACATAAACCCTGGCAAGCTTGGCAGACGCTGGCCCGTTTCAGATTGTACACCACTATGGGTGTCAAGCCGGCTGAATTTGCAGTCGCTATACAGAATATATATTTCGTTTTCCAGAATGTTATCAAAATTGTTGGTCTTGTCAAGATTTAAAGGACTGCACTACAACGACCGCCAACGGCAGCGCGCCGAGAGCAGAACCACGAAGAAGCGTCTTGACAATTAATTCATTATCATTATCTAATTCCTGTCCTACTCACTTATATTTACATGCTCGTACTTCTCAGCACCCTCTCCTCCTGGCTATCTCACGGTTTCACAATACTGAAGTCGTACTGGGCAAAATTCACAGCTGGCTGAGTCGTAGGGGTATAGATCTGGTATTGGTCTTGTCCCCATTGCGGATTGTTAATGCCGTCAATCCATTGCTGAGTCTCAATCACCAGACATCCGAATTTCGGCACATACGAGGTGCTATTCCCATGTTGCTGGCTCATCTTGACAGGAATGGTGCCGTTGAGGTTGTCACACGCATAAAGCTGCAGACTCTGCTGGTTGGTGTAGACATCCAGCTGAATACCAGTAACGCTGGAATACATTGTGAGGACGCTGATATCTGTAGCTTCTGGCGAGGAGTACCGGGGACGGTCAAGGATAAAGGCATTGTCGTAGCCGGTGCAATTGAATCCACAGTCATCGATGGCGTTGAGGATGTCCCTTCCAATTTGTTTTGGAGAGGTGAAATCAAGGGATGAGCCGTTGACGATGCCGATCGTGCCATTAGGTACTTCAATGTTGTCGATCTGCACATAGCGCGCAGAGTAGGGCATATGGAGTGTATCGTTCAAAATTGTCAGGTCTGATGGGTTGGAGAAAGCGTCAAGGTTCCAGTAGACGTGGTTGGCAAGCATGATGGGAGTCGGTTCGTCGAGAGGTATTGACACAAGTCTGGAAGTCCACGTTGGACCAGAAGACACTGTGTACGTTGCGTACGTGATGACGGTCCCAGGAAAGCCTTCATATCCTTGGTCGAGAAGCGAGAAGGTGATCGAGCTTGTATTGCTGGAAACCACCGTCCAGTTTCTCTGGTCGTATCCCACATTGCCGCCGTGTAATGTGTCTTCTCCGCCATGCTCATTTTCAGGAATGTGGGAGGTGACGCCTCTGGATTACAGTTTCGCAGTCAGCATTGCTTACTTGTGGGATCGTAGCGGGGTTCGGAGGCTCTAGACTGATCCGACAAAGAAAATGTGAACTCGGAGCGTACGCACTGCACAGTGAAAGTGCCGTTCTTGATGCGATTGGCATAGCGACCCACTACTGCTCCAAAGTATGTGTGATCGGTTTCGGTATCGTTCAGGTATGTAGCGCCACTGTCGTAGCCAAGAATAACATCTTGGGGCTTTCCATTCTTGTCTGGGACTAAGAGGTTTGTAAGTCGGGCGCCGTAAGGTATGAAGCTTGCGTTGATGCCAGGCGCAGAGATTGTGTACTTGGTGAAGACACTTGAACCGCTTGAGTTCTGAGCCAAAGCTCCGAGCGAGAGCGCAGACAAAGCAAGGAGAGGGAAAATCATATTGGTTAGCTGTTCGCTTTGTAAAATGTCGGTTTTGACAACCAGCGAGATGTGGAAGAAGCTTGGAAGAGAGCGATGAAGAGGAGCTGCGACCCTGACCTACGTTTTATATTTGGTAGATGGTCTATGCTCTACCCATGACACTCGTGCCTGATCTTTTCAACGTCTGCGGGGTTACGACATCGACAGGAACGAGACTTCTCTCCCGAGTCTGATGCAATAACGCTCGACCTGCAGGGATAGCTGTTTTCTTAGCCTGAATGGCTGGGGCTTAAGGCGGGACGAGAGGACTCGGACTGCATACCGATTAGCTGTTTTGCTTGAGCTTGATCGAAGAGCTCCGGGCGAGTCACCAGCGTTGAGGGGTCTGGAGATGCGGGGTGTGACCGAGTGGGGAACCCCTGCTAGCGTTGAGCGCTTAAACAATCGGCCAATGACATTTTTTTACCCACACGGCTGATGTCTTCCCCGTAGACTTCAATGCGGGGCTCAAGATCGACCATCTTGTCTGTTTGACAAGGCAGGCGAGAGGTCGTGCCCAAGACCATGGCGGTAAAAGTTTGAAGTGTATTACGGTGTCCTGCAGTCTCGTGCTTGCATATCAAGACCGAGACTCATTCCCTCGGTCCAATTGTGCGGGCATCACATCTACCGTCCTAGCCATTCGAGGAACGATTTCTGTTTGGGTCACTGAGAGAGCATTCATCATGCTCTGCGGAACAGAGGTTTTGAAGTGCACACGAAATGCTACCTGAAGAGATCTAGACCCTGCTGCGAATAGCTCGGCTCATGGATTTGGGGACTCGTGCCAGCCTCGAGGAAATCCACAAGACCCGCCGTCGTAATTGACCGTTGCACCCTTTCCATTACTTCAGACTCCAATTTCTTTCCCTCGCAACTTCTTCCTTGTCTCGACGATCTTTAACTACCGAGATGGTCTTTTCCGCTATCTCTTCAAAGGTATGAGTCGCCAGGGCCGGTATACGCGGACCTGTACCGAGTAGACTCATGCCTTACAGGCCCGGAACAGAATTTGCAGGTAACGTGCAACGCGTCTCTAGGCCAGGGACTGGTTCTTATCGATACGGTTGATGGAAATGGTCCTGCATGGATTCATCTATTACATCAGGATTCGAGGGAGACTGGCCGAGAGCGTGGGTAAGGAGTGCAATACGTTGCGAGTTGTCCGTCTTGCATCTGGGCTCTGCTGACTTCATAATCCGGTATACCACAATGATCTTGGCTGCCGACCACCACCGGAATTTGAGGTGACATCCTGCTGAATGAGGAGGGATAGTTGGCCTTGAGCTCTGGCGGGCGTCCCCGTTAGAGTCAGGCAGTGCCTCACTAAGCGAAACATTGTTTCGTGTCATGGTCTCAACATCACTCAACTAGCTGCCTAGAAAGGCACCGAAAAGACTCGTAGTGCCATTGTCCGGATACCGTTCCATTACCAAGCAGAAGTCCAGCGATCTTTTTTCTCTTGAGACCTGAGTCACTGGCGATGTTATCAAATATGACTCCATTCACGGCTGCGCCAGCCGCAGCTCCAGAAGATCCTAAAACTAGGCCCAAAAGACTGCCGTTGATGATATGAACGGTTTGTTTGCGATAGAAACACATCTTGGTCGTAACAACATAGTACGTAAAGCGCTATTTTTGTAGTGAAATTTCGTTCGGGATTGAAATCGATACTTTCTGGACCTTGTCCATCGCACGTGATACCGCAATTGGTCATCGTTGATGTTTCGATTCGGGGACTGCTACGCGAGTCCTAAGCCACCCGTCTAAATGAGCACAAGAAGGGCATAAAAGACATGTGACTAAAGAGCACCAAATGCCATTGCTCTCGCTCAGCCAACAAAAACATGCGGAATGAACCTATGGCAGTGATCATATGTTCGGTGACATCTTAATACTTAGGCAGAACGAAGAAGAAAGGTGATGCAGTGCGATGCTCAACCTATCGTGGAATGAGGCGAACATGCATCCTATATCTCGGCTGAAAGCTTTCTTCCACTCCGAGGACTGCTATGAAAGATCGAGAGGGATTCAAATCAGACAGCAATCAAAGCATGATAGCAGACGTGTATTGATCTCCTTTCTGGGAGATTGTAGAGCATCATAGCTTCCGAATGAAAAAGGGAGATACTCGGGTGAGTTTCTCATTGATATACAGTCTTATCCCAGGTATCCCAAGCCCAACACCAAGCAATGGGATACGCACATTCCACAACGCCTCATGACATGCAGCCATCTTCGACGCAAAAGTTATTTCTTCAAGCTTAGAATACACTGATGTAATTACCTATCCGCTCCTTCTGATTCTGTGCGATACACTCCGCAATCCAGGTTATGTTGCGTATTTCCTATCCGCCAATTAGTCAGATAATCTTGTGTCAAGCCGGAGAGTGCCGACGTACCTGTTCTCTCAATTTTACCCACGCATATATGACAGCATGAGTGAACTGCCTCGTGAAGGCTGACTTTGATATCTCCATCTCTTTCTGGTAAAACATATCTTCCAAACTCTTTCCATCACTGCCGCCACCACCGCTCATATTACCAGGCCCAGAACCGCCCATACCTCCACTCATGCCAACGCTGTCGAAATACGACTTGTAGTCATGGTTGCCGCTGACGGCAAGTGAAACGCCTTCAATGTCGTCTGCTCGCGACAGCATCAAGGTACCCTCTGGATATAGCCCCCCAAAGCTCGGGTAGAGCTTGTTTCGATCCTGCTTTGACAGCTCGGTACCGAAAGAATTCAAGGTAATGTTGATGGCTCGGCGATCGGCCTCGAATTCCAGCACTTCAGCCATGACTTCCGATGTCGGAGTGTCTTTCAGCTCAGGATGCTCTGTGACAAATTTGTAGAAATCTTCTAGGTAATTCTTGTATAGGGTGTTGCGGATGATCTCAATGTTAAGCTCGTCAAGGTCCTGATGGCTCAAGGAACCCTTGAAGTACGCGGCTAGCGGCGTTTCGATCAGGACAGAGTTGTACAATTCCTCGATATTCGTTGCTACACAAAGTACTGGCATCGTCTCGAACCATCCGAGGGGATGACATCTTTCTAGCAGCTCACGTGTGTCTCGTTCATGGAGGGTACCTGTGATAAGTAGCGCCACGTTATCGATCATGTAGCCGTATGTAAGGTATTCCATGAATTTTGCCAAAGTTCCCACGGCCTGCCCTTGGATGTATCTGAACTCTGCGACTAGCTTGTCTGTAGTCTTGTTGGCGAGGGATGAGGTGGATGGATTAGGCGGTAGCGATGCGAGAAAATCGCCATAGGCGGGAGACAATTGCAGCTTGACATCTGCAGGTAATGAGCGCCTAAGCTTTGCCTTGGACAAGGGAGCCACGTACCATCAATGGTTTCGCATTGTGTAAGATTACTGTAGTTCTGGCCGTTGAGAAGACTGTTTCGATATCCTCGTACTACTCCCTCAATGTACCTGCAATGATCAATAATGGACTTTCATAATGGTCGATTAAGAATGCTCTTCATACCCGCCATTTACGTTGAAGAAGAGGCCTTCCATGGCAGTGGATGGCTTTAAGCAAAAGGAACCCTGGTGGGGCGAGTCGCAGATGCAGTCGAGCTCGATATCGCAGAATGCCAAGGCCGGAAACAGAAGCTAAGCCGCATTAGAAATTAGCGAATTTTCTCCAACCTCACGAAAACTTTCTCGGATATCATTCGCAAGAGCGCACCTGCAACATCAGAAACGGCAACCACCTCCTACATTCTTGCCTACGATGGGGCTCTTCATCCTTCAGTATGCACACTACACAAGCTGTCAATGCCCTTTCTTCCACGCTAATAATCGTTTAGAGAGACTCCTGTGGGGTACGCACTTCTGAAAGCGAAGAGCTCAAAAATATTAAAGCAAGATGGCTTTGCAGCCGAAGACGAGACTGCTGAGGGCATTTGCAGCCTGTACGTATATTCGAACAATTTTGGGGCTTATAGGCGTTGGACGATACTAGATCAGATCAGTACTAATCACGTTCTTCTTGTCGTGCAGTCTTAAATTGAAAGATTTTCATAAATTCGACAGCGCTGCTACAGCCCTTGAACAAACCGCTGCTCTAGTGGAGGGCAAAGTTACGCCTCGACTGTCGGGCTTGTTAGACTCGATCAAGGATGAAAAGAAAGTCTCTCTGGCGGTCGCTGACCCTAAGCTCGGTACGATGAGTACTGGTTCTCAAGACCATGAATTTTTAGTTGACGATGTATACAGCCAATGCCATCAACAAGCTGCCACAATTGTCCCTCAATCTCATATCCGACTCCAGTACACAAGACCTCTACCGAGCCATTCGCAACCACCTTCCTTCTTTGATCCCTGGCCTTCTTCCGCAAGACATCTCCTCAATGTCTCTAGGTCTCTCACATTCGCTCTCGAGGCACAAGCTCAAATTTTCGCCGGACAAGGTAGATACTATGATTGTTCAGGCCATCTCGCTTTTAGATGATCTCGACAAGGAGTTGAACACCTACGCAATGCGTGTCAAGGAATGGTATGGTTGGCATTTTCCCGAGATGGGCAGAATCGTGAACGATAACCTTGCCTACGCACGTGTCATTCTAAGCATGGGTATGCGAACAAGTGCTGCGAAAGCAGACCTTGCGGAGATACTGCCCGAAGAGATAGAGGCCGCGGTCAAAGCTGCCGCAGAAGTTTCCATGGGTACTGAGATTACCACTGAAGATCTTGAGAACATTCAAGCGCTTGCCGAGCAGGTTGTCAGTTTCACCGAATATCGCCAGCAACTCTCTGGTTATCTCTCCGCTCGAATGGCCGCAATCGCTCCCAATCTGACTGCTCTGGTCGGCGACCTCGTCGGCGCTCGGCTAATTGCCCATGCGGGAAGTCTCATGAACCTAGCCAAGAGTCCAGCAAGTACGATCCAGATTCTGGGTGCTGAAAAGGCCTTGTTTCGCGCTCTGAAAACAAAGCACGACACTCCCAAATATGGATTGATTTACCACGCATCCCTGATAGGCCAGGCTACAGGGAAGAACAAGGGCAAAATAGCCCGAATGTTAGCCACTAAGGCGGCGCTGGGACTCCGCGTTGACGCTCTGGCGGACTGGAGCGCAGAGGGAGAAGGCAAGGGGGATCTCGTCACAGAAGAAGAGAAATCTGCACTTGGAGTTGACAATCGGCTGAAGATTGAGCGCCGACTAGCAAGTTTAGAAGGGAAGCCTCTACGATCAAAGGGTGTCGCAATAGCTCCAAACGGTGTCTCATTTACGCCTGGTAAATGGGAAGTAAAAGAAGCACGGAAATACAACCCGGATGCTGATGGGCTTGCTGGTGACGAGCCAGCTGCAGCTGAACCAGTCTCCAAGAAATCCAAGAAGGACAAGCCGAAGTTGATCGAAGAAGTAGCCGAAGAGCCAGCACCTCAAATGTCGAAGAAAGACAAGAAGGAGTCGAATCACATCAAGCCGATCGAAGAGGTTGTGGAAGATGCCATGCAGGAGGACCAAAATGCCCCTGACGAAGAAGAGGAAGAGAGCTCCGACGAGGAAATGGAAGGTGAGCCAGAGGCTCCAATATCTCCACCGGCAACCCAGCCTAAAGCAGCGAGTGAAACGACCACAAAGACAGCAAAGACCAATGGAGTTGAAGATCACGAGGCCAACGGAAACGACAAGTCTGAAACGATATCAACAGTGTCAGCGGACACTCCTGACTCGCCACCTTCCCCTACCCAACAGGAGACCAACTGGCAATCACCTATAACCGGAAACACCAAAGAAGCCAAGAAGGCCCGGAAGAAGGAGCGACACGCTCGAAAGCTCGTGTTATCAGAGGACAGGAGCAAATCGAAAAAGCTCCAGAGAGAGAAATTGGCTCGAAGACTCGACCGTAAGGAGCGACGGCAGAAGCGAGCAGAGCAAATAGAGCGACGGGAGGAAAGGGACGACGCAGAATTCGGTGCTTTGGCCAAAAAGGCAGGTCTTACGATCAGTCGGTATAAGAGGAAGCTTGAGAGAGGTGAGATCAAGTTTGAAGCCGATGGTAGGCCTATGGCCATTAGCAAAAAGGAGATAAAAAAGGCAAGGAAGGCGGCGGAGAAAGCCGGAAAGGCATCTAAAGCCGATTTGGACACTAGCAAAAAGAGAAAGAGGGACGATGAGGACGCCGAGGCTGGTGCCGTCGAGATGTTGGAGAAGAAAAAGAAGAAGAAGAAGCACCACAAGGGTGAGGCTTAATTGACTGATTCGATGCACTGGGAGCTTATTTGCAGGGATCTCGCCATCTGCTGCGCGGGGATGTATGAATGTTATGGTAATACTCACAAGGCGCTCGGTACTCACTGTACATCTGAGTTGCACTGGCTTACCCCTATCCATCAGACGGGGCTTCAATCACACAGTCAGCCGAACTGGCTCTCGTCTCTGATCGTGCTTCTCTGGTACAAGGACTGAAGGACGCCGCGAACATTGGGAATATTGTACACCAGAATCAAAGGCCTTTCGGTCACGATGATACCCTTAACTCCACAAACCCCTTTGCAGAAACCTTCTTGACTTTTGAACCAGCCATCACACTCCCTCTAAAAAGCTCTCCCATCCCTCCCCCCCTTCTGCACCATCAACCCCACCCCTTCCCTCACAAGGTCACTCCCCCAAACCCCGTCCTGCCCACCTCTCCTCCACTCACTCCCCAGTCCCATCCCTGCCACATCCCCCTCCAACCTCCCGCTCTCCCCCAGGACAACTTCCAAATCCCTCTTCTGGCTCGCCATCCACCTCTTCACAAACGTGACCGGATCCCTTTTGTACCCGTCCAGGAACTGGGATTTCCGTTGCGAGGCGCCGAGGGCTTGGATTAGCAAGGCGAGGTGTTCTTCGTAGGCGGAGAGCTGTTTTAGGATAGGTAGGGAGGGAGGCAGAGAAGGGAGGCTTGGCGGGGTGGGGAGGCGGAGGGTGTAGATTGTGGGTGTCGGGGAAGCGTGGAAGTCGGGGTCGACGCGGATGGTGTAGGGCAGGGAGACTGGAGGGAGGGGTGTGAGGTGGGGAAGGATGAGGGAGGGGATGTGTGGGAAGTGGATGGTATCTTGTTTGAAGACCTGATTTGGCGAGCTGTCAGTGGCCATTCTTGAAAGGAATGAGGGCGTACGGAAAAGGCTTACGGCTTTCAAACGGTCGTCGCACTGTATCAACCGCTTTTCTTCGTCCTGCTGTAGCCCCATCGCCTTGACATACTCCCATATCCCCATGATAATCGACGGGCGGTCATCCTCATTGGTGTCGAGGATGTTCGCCAGCTCTTTGCTCAGCGTGCAGCGCTCAGGGATCTCGTCACGGTAGAGATTGATCATGCAATTGATGTTCTCGTCGCTCTTCCTTTCGAACTCGAGACAGTCGAAGTCCGCTTGAGGAGGCAGCACTGCTGCATTCAATGCCACTTGCGGTTTCTTCCATTCAACTTGCGTCGTCCCATCTGGCTGGAGGTTCTTGTTCCGATCGAAATCTACCGTGATGGCTTTAACGAAATGAGAGAGCTTTGTTCGTTGCCGGCTTGCCAGCTGTTTTGGCACTTCCATACTAGGGGCGCCGTCGTATTCCATAGCGTCCCCACCGGTCTTGTCTTCGTCCTCATCATCACTGCCCTTCTCCGAAGCATCATCGGCATCCTCATCTTCAATCACTCTCCCCTCAATCTTGACCCTGTACGTAGCCTCGACACCACTTGTAAAGTCGAACGCATTTTCGTCTAAATCTCTCCCCTGCCACGGCTGGTTTTCCACCGTATTCGAGATCCAGATCCGCACAGTACTGTACTTCTTCGTAGCATTGTGTAATGAATCCTGCTGATCCAGCCTCTTCCTCATCATCACAGCATCGAGCTTCCTCTCCAGCTCCCGCATTTTCTTGTATTGCTGCACCCCATCTCCAACGATCAAATCTTCAATTCCTTCTGGCATAGCCTTGTCTGTCGGTTTCTCAGCTCGCCGTTTCGCACTTGCAGCTTGCTCGGCGGTCCGTTTCATCTGCTCCTGGTTTTGCGCGTCGAGCATCTTTTTGGCATCTTGCGGCATGTGGGCGGGATTGATGGGTACTGCATGATTGTGAGCTTCAGATATAGCTGGGGCAATGGAATCATGGTTGATGTACTTACTCTGACCTCGTCTGGTTGAGGATGTATGGGGTGACCGCTGGGGCATTTGTTGATAATTTTGGGCATATCGTTGCTGCATGGCGGCGGGATTCATCTTGCCGACTGCGGCTTTGGACCAAACAAAGCAAAAATTTGGCCGCTTGAAGCACCTTTCCCTGAGACTGACTTTGACGTATCATATGCCCTTGCGCACCAAGGCGCGTCTGATATCGGTACTTCGGGGAAACATTTGTTCCGGGGGCTCTTGCTTGGCATCACACGGCCTACGTGAATTAGAGTGTTCGGCAAGACGGCTACGCTAGATCTTAATTGGGTAGAGCGTGATCTGACAGAATATCACGACGATTATTTAAACCCCTCGATATCCTCTCGCTGTCTTTCCATCACATTCATACCTGGGTGTTACTCTGCTCGGGATCCTTCTTCTTAGACCCCACGATATGTGAACCTCATATGCGGTACGTTTTACCCTTGATCGAGGTTTTACCCTTGATCGAGGTTTGGGCCTGGAATCGAGGATGTTAGTGCCTACGATTTCTATCCAACGGCATGATCGATACAAAACCAATGCAGGAGAAACGCAATACCGCACAGCCCCTGGCCAGCTGGCACACGGCTCGAAGATGTTATTCAAAAATGGCTTCGTTCACGGTGGTCGAGACTTCACGATTGCTGGCGATTTAACACTTGCTCCCCGTTAGGCGCAGCTGGGACAGACGGCGGCGTCGAGCTGCTGGAAATGCGCCTTCAACACAGAACCAATGCAGGAGGAAGGTCATACCGTACAGCCTCCTGCCAGCTGACATACGGCTCGGAGATGTTATCCTAAAACGGCTTCGTTCACGGTGGTCGAGGCTTCACGATTGCTGGCGATTCAACACTTGCTCCCCGTCAAGCGCAGCTACAACAGAGGGCGGCGTCGAGCTACTGCACTGCGCCTCCACCAGCTGACCTGTTTTTGTGACGCGGCCGGCATTGCAATCTTGATAAAGGTCATGCTCACAACAATTGCTCTTCTCGTTCTCCACCTCCTACCGTGTCATTGGCTCATTAGTATGGTTGATTGCCGAGAGTACGGTGCTCGAGGCTGTTCCCTGAATGACGAGGAAACAAATTGCCACTCGCACCTTTTGGAGGCTGGAAAAATATGGACGCGAGCGAGCGTCGCAATTACATCTTTGTACCTACGGACGACGGTGAGCTCGCCCGTGACTCAGGCACTGTGCAGGAAACTGACACTCAATGAAAATAGGGACTCGCTCGATTGGCTATTCGCGGAAGATTTGGGAAAAGAAGGAAATCAAAAAAGCTACATAGGATCTAGAGAGGGAGAAGGAGACTTCTTTAGCTCTGCACATGAGCGGCAGCCTGCTGTGATCTACAAAGTTCCGTGCAGTAGCCATGCGCAGACTATTATTCTGATTGGGTGCTATCTGGGATGAAGGAGCTGATGTGACTACACTGTGCCGCCATCCATGGGCTTATCTACTCCAATCAGTGACCATCAAGCCTCAATTACGACGATCGAGCTCCGGCCATGGTTTGAGCTCGTGGAAGAGGCAACTATGTAATTCCATTTACTCATGCCCGTCTCGAGTAGCATTGGGTAGCGGCACGCGCATCAAGCCGTCCAACGACTTCTCGCGCTCTCGGTTGATGATTTAGAGTCTGAAATGACCAACGCGAGCGTTTTGTACCAGCTGAAGGTTCTTATAAGTCCTTGGTTTACGTCCTGAAATTCTTCGGTGTTATAACCCGCCCGCGCCAACGACGGACGTGCCTACTGCGACATTAGACGAACCACCTATCGATGTTGCTATGGCCCGCAGAAAACAGCTTTCCCTCCGCGTGTCATTATGCCCCATATGTAAAATGCCGAAATGGTGGTCTGAGTTCGCGAGAGAAGCAGGTATCAACGTGACAAAGGAAACGGCCCTCAAGTGCGAAGATTGCGGACAGCGCAGTGAGCTTACTTGACCGTCGTCTTTAGCAATTCACCGACTCGCTTATCCTTAAGAATCAATTTCATTACCTCGTGGCTCTCCAACATTTCCTAGCAGCGACAGCAACATTCCTATCAGTCTAATCGTTCCATCGACTTTCCCCACCTCACAAGAGGGAAAGCCCATTATCCGCCTGACCGATAGAATTTCCTCTTCACTACCTACACGAATCTTTCTTGAGGATACGTTTGTCTCGGAGTCGCTGGGAGTCGAATCTCAAGACGGGTTGTGGGAGGTAGAAACAATACTACAGAAGCGTACCGACCGAGGTCGAAGAATGTATGCGAAACGTGCCAGGCGATATTTGGTACAATGGACGCCCATTTAGTTGTCTACTAGGGAGTTCCACTATGCACAGAAGACTTGGAAGATTATCAAGACCTCGCAGGATAAGCATGCAGGAAAGGGAGGAGCCTTGAGTCATCATGAGATGAGAGTTCACTGGGCCCCATCGTGGGTATCGTCCCTCGAGCTCGCTGCAACACTAGAAGCCTCGGATGCAAGCCACGTGTCTCTCGGGTAGTATTGTGGTGGTGCTGTATGCTATTGAGACTGAGTAGTCCGAGCTGTGTTGCTATCATTATATTATGCTATGTAATGAAGTATTCGTCAGCGATCATAGTACAATGTTGTCACGTGTAACGATAGATTGCCAGCTTTCTTGCCGAGGAGGCCGTGCAACACTCCTGGACATGCTTCTCCCGCGTAACGGTATTTTGGCTGGAGGCCTTGCCATGTATATTCTATAGCCAGTCTTTAGCCGTCACTTCCCTCACGATACTGGAGCAGCACTACTGGTACTCTCCCGCCTTGTGCCCTTTGGCCTTGATGGGGACAAGGCCGTCAAGCATGGTGGGTGGGATGGTGTGGGAGGAGGAGGAGAGAAGGAGTAGACCTTTTTCTAACCTGCCTCACATCTTCTATACTCTGTACTCCGTTACGACACCAAAATCTTTCTCTCTTTACCCTCTTATTCTTCCCTCCCTCATACCGTAATTCTATCAGTCCACCCAGCAAGAGCAGAATCTTGGGAAAGATTTCCTGGAACCTTCGAAAAGGGGGAGCGTCTTCCTGGAAACCCTGCG